GCGCGGAGAACGCCTGGCTGTCCGCCTGCAGCACTGAGCACATTCCACGGACTCCGGAGGCCGCGGGCGCTCACGTTGGGGTTCCTTCTCGGGGTCGGACGTTCTCGGGTCTGACGGGTCTGACGGGACGCGTGTCCCCGGTGAGAGGACTCGCCGAGCAGTCCCACGGCCCTGGAACTCCCGCTCCGATCAACGCCCGCCCCCACTGCCCCCCGCCCCCCGCCCCCCGCCCCCGTCACCCCGGTCTGTGCCGGTTCCACGGTTGTGCCTTTCCCGGGCTGTCACAGAGTTGGAATCACCAGGATACAAACATTTTCAAACGCGGACCGAACGCACAGGGAGTGTCGAGCGTCACCAGGGGTTTTAAAGGGACTGCAGTTTATTATTATTATTATTATTATTATTATTATTATTTTGGTTTTTTTGGGGGGGAGGGACTCTAGTTTAGCTCCCCAGAGGTGCTGGGCACTGGATTGATCTATGAGGAGCGATCGTGTGAGGAGGGCCGTTGGGAAATGGTGTTTGAATGCAAGTCACGCAGTTTTCTTTTCCTTGTGAAGCGGAGTTTAGTTATAAGATTGGAACCTGCCGGGGAAGGTAACTGACAGGCGTTGGCCTGTCTCCACGCCGCGGAGTTCCCCCCCCCCGGTTGATGGCCAGCGGCCGGCTTTCTCAGGGCCGCCGCGGAGTGCCTGGAAGTCAACTAGGAAAGCATCTGAATTGGGGTTACAGAGGTCGTTAAAACTGTTTCCCTCTAGGAGAGAAATTTCCCATTTTACCAAGATTTGTCACAAAGTCTGTGGTTTGTGGTGAAAGGGGGAGATTTTTTTTAAATATATATTTTATTGATTTTTTTACAGAGAGGAAGGGAGCGAGATAGAGAGCGAGAAACATCGACCAGCTGCCTCCTGCACACTCCCTACCAGGGATATGCCCGCAACCAATGTACATGCCCTTGACCGGAATCGAACCCAGGACCTTTCAGTCCACAGACCGACACTCTATCGCTGAGCCAAACCGGTTTCGGCAAAAGGGGGAGATTTCTATGTAGAGATGACTATATAGAGAGGACTTCTGGGCAGTAGCTTAACTCCTCCCAAGTCTAGAGAACAAAGTAGGAAGTTATAGGAACATCATCACTGAACTCCTCTGAAGCGCCACTTGTTCCCATTATTTAAATATGTGATGTGAGTGTAAAATTAGCTGCTAAATAAAATTCTATCTAAAAAGCAAATTATAGCCCTGACCAGGTTAGCTCAGTGGATAGAGCATTGGTCTGCAGACTGAAAGGTCCCAGGTTTGATTCTGGTAAAGGGCATGTACCTTGGTTATGGGCATGTCCCCAGTAGGAGGTGTCTGGGAGGCAGCTGATCAATGTTTCTCTCTCATCGATGTTTCTCTCTATCCCTCTTTCTTCCTCTCTGTAAAAAATCAATAAAATATATTTTAAAAATAAAATAAAAAACCACATTATAGCAATATTATTCTCAAATTACAAATCAGATTAACTTAGGGCTAATTAATTTAGTCAACAACTATGCATGATGCAATACACTAGGCACTGCAGGACATAATAGGAGACCACATAAGGCTCATCTCTGTCACCATGGAGCCAGCCTTCTAATGAGGAGAAAAGACAGTACACAACAACTAGGGATTAGGAATACTATCGATAAGAGGAGAAATAGAGGCTGGGAGCTACTTTAGGTAGATAGTGGGAAAGGCTTCTCTTTGAGACGAAAAGAATGCTGAGGAGCCTGCCTTGGGAAGACCTGAAGGTGGTTGTGGGAGGGCGCTCAAGGAAGAGGGAACCACATATCCCAAGGCCCCAAGTCCTATTTGAGGAAAGGAGAGCAGCCAGGGTGACGAGAGAAAAGAAGAGATGGGCAGAGGGCAGATCAGCTGGACATTACAAGGCTATAGTAAGGAGTTTGGATTTAATTCAATGTACAATTGGTAAGAGTTTTAAGCAAGGGAGAGACTAAGTTTTTAAATAATTCTCTGTCATGTGGAGAAGAGATGGAGGAGGCAAAAGTAGAAGCAGAGAGCAGTAGGACAGGGAAATGGGGTGAAGCAATCAGGTTGAAGAGATCATTAGGAAGAATTAGCAGGACTTGGTGAGGATTGTCTTGTATCTGGGCAGTCAGGAAAGGAAGTGTCGATTATGACAGAGTAGATGGTGATGGAATTTTCTGATGGCAGAGTCAGGTAGCTCTGGGGCACCAGCACAGTACCTGACACAGTTCTTCATGGATAATTGTTGCATTGACTAAAATGGAAAACATAAACACATACACCCCTCTCTGGCCCTGGAAAAAGTCAGCAAAGTTTATGACAAATGCCCTCTCCACCTCTCTGCTCACAACTCCTCCTCTTGAGGCCCAGGCCTCAAACTGACTTAACTCTGGCCTGCTCAGAATTTAAGACCATGGTCTCAAACAGGAAAGTTTCGGTTGGTGGGCTTTGTCTTAAGTGTCTGACTGACAGCCTCAGCTCATCTGTGGGCCAGAGACTTCTCAGAGCCAGTAGTAAACAGTGTCACTTCCTTCTGTGGGCCCAGAGTCCCTTTATCCTGTGCCAGAACCTCAGTGGGTGTTAGGACTAAGCAAAGAAAGCTCCAAGGAGAAGCACAAGGGCTCTAGCCCTGCCATACCTTCATGAAACCTAAAATAAGGGACCAGGAAGGTCCTGGGAGGAACGGGCCAGGTCAGCTTGGGTTTGGGCTAGACAGGAGGTTTAAGTGGAAGGAGGGTGTAAAGCTCAAGGAGACCTGGCGGGTGGCAATGTCAGAGATCATCATGGTGTATCTAGTGTCTAGTGTAGGGCCAGCCTCATAACAGGCATGCCAAAACTATTACCCATGACACTGCCACAATGTTACCTTACCTGGACTATTTCTAATGCCACCTTCTCTTTCCCTCCACCCTTGCCAAGGATCTGCATCAGTGGCCTTGAGACTGTACACATCTGGTCCCACATTTGGCTCTCAGTTTTCATTGATCCTCTCTGAGCCTCCCGGGTAGGAGACCAGCCCCAGTCCTGCTCTGTCCTGATTCAGGGTCTGATAATACCAGACACTCAACCCACACGTGTTGAGTGAATAAAATAGGCATCAACCAGGTGATTGCAGTACTGTAGGTGAGGAATGACTGAGTCTTGGACTGAGGAGATGGCATTGGAGATGGAGAAAAGGAGACATTTAAAATAGATCTGGAAAGCAGAAGGGACAGTAGTTGCTGATGAATGGTATAATCTCTGGGTTACCATAGCAAGCTCTTTATTTCATGTTATCTTTGTGTTTATCAAAATGTCCAGATAAAGAATCAAGTTGTCTTTTTTTTTTCCCTCGGGAGGGAGGAAGGACAGACACTAAAATAGTATCACCATATATTTTGAATAATAGTAGAAATTAGAGGAACTTCAAAGAGTTCATATGGTATCACATAAGTCAATGATCAAACCACTAAGAGACAATAAGGGGTAAAAATTTGGAGAACTCATTTGGTATGTATGTGGATAGTATTTTTTTTTTTTTTTTACATAATCCAGGTATTGAATAGTTCAACCTCTCCAACTTCAAATGTCTTGCACTTCACAGACTCTCAGTAATGTTTGTTGAGTAGATGGATGAATGAATGAATCTGTCAAGGTTTGGCAAGTATTTCAGAGACTGAAATTGCATAGTGAGCCAGATCAGACCACACCAAAGAATGAGTAGGAAACTTAACACTGCTTAATATCCCAGTTGTTTTTGCTGGCACCAAAAGTTCTTGAATACAAAATTATTACATTGAATAAGAACGAAAAGCAGTGTTCTTACCTGTTGAGAGTCTGTGAACTTCTAGATACATTATGTTTCATTATTTCTAATTCTCAGACTAACCTTGTGGGGCAGATATAATCCACATTTTATGGATGAGGAAATTAAAACTCAGTAGTGGCAAAATACTTGACTACAAACTAGTGGCACTGGAATTCAAAATCATATTTGACTAATGTCACAGGCTCCCTGAACCATGTTATGGGCATAACCTGTGGGTGAGAACATTCACAGTTAAAGTGAAATCTGTGGTTGAGAACATTCACAGTTAAAGATGCCATGTATTATGAAGTGAAGTTGAGTAAATCTGCTAATTTGGTGTAGTTGACAATTTTACTACAGTAAAATCCATTATAGTGATAACACCAAGGAAAAGCCATCATTTCATTTATTTGATATTTATTGAGTGCCTTTTATGTGCAACATAGCATTGAATTACACACATAACATGTTAGACGCCGCATTGCCCTCATGGAGCTTACCATCTAGAGGTGAGGTTAAAGTTACTGTCCACGACCACACAATACAGTGTAATCAAATGCATGATTTGAAGTATTTACAATAGAGTTTTGCTATATTTTTTAAAGATGGGCTTTATGTTAATATTTAAATCCATAAATGTCCCATTGAATCATCTCTTATCTGAAACTCTACATTTTAGAGTGCTCAAAAATTGTATATTATACACATTTCGAGTGTAAAAAAAACTGAAGCCTAACCTACACATTCAAAACTCTAGAAGGACATTTTTGAACATGTTTTTTTTTTCTTTTCTTTTTTTAAATATATCTTATTGATTTTTCACAGAGAGGAAGAGAGAGGGATAGAGAGTTAGAAACATCAATGAGAGAGAATCATTGATCAGCTGCCTCCTGCACACCTCCTACTGGGGATGTGCCCGCAACCAAGGTACATGCCCTTGCCCGGAATCAAACTCGGGACCTTTCAGTCCACAGGCCAGCGTTCTATCCACTGAGCCAAACTGGTCCCAGCTGGAACATGTTTTTACAGGTTGAATCTGTATTAACTTACATTTCACTGTAGTAATAAAACCTTTTCTCTAAGAATGAGTAAACTATCCACTGCTTTTCTAAATACTTTTTTAATCTTGGAATTGTTTATAGTTTATTTCATTTAACTTATGCACTTAAATTATGTTTTCTAAAATGCAGATAAAAGAATGGCAAACTTTGCATTGAAGAACTTCACTGCACTCTCAGATCTGCATCCAAATATGGCTAATCTGGTAGGCTTCAATGATATAGTGGTTTGGTTGTTCTATAATGAAATTTTCTGTGGTAATATATTGATTCTTTTGACACATGCTTGTATATTAGACAAGTACATATATTCATTGCATTTGTATAACTGTTTTATATTAAATACCCCTAAATTTTTTGTATTTATGCCATCTAAATGAAAATTAGTATCTCTTTTGTCTAAAGAGTAAGAGATTATATATAAAAGTCGTGATTGTTCAAAATGATCTGATGTTTATTTTAATTATTTAATAACTACTCAAATTTAGCATTGTACAATTAAAACATTTTTTGTTCAGCCCTAACTGGTTTGGCTCAGAGGATAAAGTGTAGGCCTGCGAACTGAAGGGTCCAGGTTAGATTCTGGTCAGAGCATGTACCTTGGTTGCAGGCACAACCCCCGGTAGAGGGTGTGCAAGAGGCAGCTGATCAATGTTTTGCTCTCATTGATGTTTCTAACTCTCTATCCCTCTCCCTTCCTCTCTGTAAAAAATCAATAAAATTCATTAAAAATTTTTTTTTATTCAGCAGTATCTCTTCTCAAATCAAATTATCCAAGTTATAGACTTAAATACTTGCCATTATGCTGCTTTTATGACATAAAGATACACAACAGGTGTATTTCTGAAATGAAAATTCATTATTTTGGGGAAGTGTTATAGGGGAATTCAATAATTTCAAATACAACAAGACTCTTATTTAAAGGAAAGCTAGGTAGAATATTTTATAAGGTGAATTTATTGTAAAGCAATTATCATAGTCCCTTACCTTTTTTGCTCCTGAGCAGTCTGCTATTTACATTTGGTATTTGCAAATCTGATTTCTTAAAATGGGATAAATTTATATGTAACTTTAATAGTTTACAATTCAAAGTTTATTAATGTTAAAAAAATAATTATTGCTGTTATAGTTTTTTTTGAATTGTAAACTATTTGCTAAATGCCTCATCAGTTAGAAAGTTTTACTCAGTATTTCCATTAGTTGTGTTTTTCCAACATAATTCAGTGAGATCTGAAAGCATATGGAATTTAAGAAATAATAGCAGTGTGTATAAATGTAATAAGACTAACTAATTGCTCAGCTAGGATATGGCAGTCTTGAATGTATTTTATTTATTTATTTATTTACGGTATATTGATTTCGGAGAGGGAGGGAAAGGAAGAGAGAGAAACATCAATGATAAGAGAGAATAATTGGTTGGCTGCCTTTTGTATGTCCCACACTGGGGACCGAGCCTGCAACCTCTGCATGTGTCCTGACTGGGCATCAAACCATGACCTCCTAGGTCATATGTGGACACTCAACCACTGAGCCACGCTAGCCAGGCTTGAATGTATTTAAATGTAACAGATTATTATAAGGTTAAAATTAGTTGCTAGATTAATAACATAAATTTAGGTTTATAATTTCAGAAAAAGCTAATTGTTTTTATTTCTCAAAGCACTTTTTAAAAAATAATAATTTTTTTATTGATTTCAGAGAGGAAGCGAGAGAGAGAGAGAGAAATAGAAACATCAATAATGAGAGAGAATCATTGATTGGCTGCCTCCTGCATGCCCCCACTGGGGATCGAGCCCCATAACCCAGGCATGTGCCCTTGACCAGAATCGAACCTTTTATTGTATTTCATGTATTGTATTTCATCCTTTAGTCTACAGGTCAATACTCTGTCCGCTGAGCCTAACTGGCTAGGGCTTAAAGTACTTTTTAATATTTAATTTTTCTTTGGTAGTCACTAAAGAGAACACTAAAAAGGTTAAAGAGTTGTTAATATCTTTAAGGTTTAAGATCTAGGACTTTAGAGCTTAGATTTATTTATTTATTTATTATTATTTTAAAATATATTTTATTGATTTTGTACAGAGAGGAAGGGAGAGAGATAGTTAGAAACATCGATGAGAGAGAGTCATCGATCAGCTGCCTCTTGCACACCCCCTACTGGGGATATGCCCACAACCAAGGCACATGCCCTTGACCGGAATCGAACCTGGGACCTTTCAGTCCGCAGGCCGACGCTCTATCCACTGAGCCAAACTGGTTTCGGCAGAGCTTAGATTTATTAGCAGCAATATACTACAAGTTCTGTTGCAATCTAATTTATATTACTGTTCAGCATGTTTGGATTAAGAAGCTAAGCAATTTTATGTGGATTGTTAGAAAACTCTAAATAAAAGAAAGCTTTGAAGTCCATGGCAAATTAAATTGCATTTTACATGTGCTTTGAATGAATTCAGTAAGGATTGATAGCATAGGGTAGTTACTGTACTCTACCTAGTGATTGAAAATAAAGTAGAAGCATGCTAAGTATTAAATGATTATATTTGTAATAGTAGTTAACTATGTTATTGCTTTGTAGTATTCCTTGTAGAATTGAACATTTATGAACTTATTTTAGAAGTTTGTCTGGAATAAATACATTTCAGTGGTTGCTAGTAAAAAAATGTTTGTTAGAGTCAGTAAAATATAACAAGTCCATGAAATTAAATTTACCGTCTACATCTGTGTTTAATATTTGTTTTCTTTAACCTTTTTGTTTTTCAGAAAATAATCGGTATAGTTATTGGGAAAACAGATGTCAAAGGCTTTCCAGACAGAAAAAGCTGAGTTCTGCTTAACAGTTTGCTTCATTTTTCATCAATTTTGGCTTATGATTACAACAAAATGTATTTAGTGATTAAATTTCTCATGCCTGTTTAACTCCTTAAGAGCAATGGCCATATTCTCTATTGTATGGTAAAGTACTCAATTGAAGGCTATGTGTGTGAGGACATTAAAATAACTTAAAATATTTTTATTGATTTCTGAAAGGAAGGGAGAGGGAGAGAGAAACATCAATGATGAGAGTGAATCATTGATTAGCTGCCTCCTGTATGCCCCAACCTAGGGATCAAACCCACACCTAGCATGAGCCCTGACTGGGAATTGATTCATAGGTCAATGCTCAACCACTGAACCATGCTGGCCAATCTAAAACCATTTTTAATGATTTTGATACTAGTACCCCTGCGCACGAATCCGTGCACCAGTAGCTCTCTGTGGGGCCTGGCTGCCCCTTGCCCACTGCCCAGAGGCCCTCTGTGGCCCACAGGCTCATCTGAGGCTGGGCGCAGAACACTTGCCTCATCACCGTGGTGACGAAGCAAGCATTTCATCAGGTTGCTCATGCTGCCCAGGGACTGGGGAACTCCTGCGGGGCTGAGAGGACTGGGCGCTGTCATCTTTGTGATAAAGTGATGGTTAATTTGCTTATTGCTCTTTTATTAGATAGATTTCTCAAACACATATTTGAAAGCTTAGAGATACAATGCCCAAATAGCTAGTTTAGATGATCAACTTACTAATGTGTATCATGTGTATTTATTGAGTACCTCTATTGTGTTAAGCACTGCATAAAGGTAACAGAGGGCAATTGTAGTCTCATATTCTCTTCAAATATCATAGTGTCTGAGAGTCTGGACTTACAGCTAGATTGACTGAGTGCACTTAGCTATTGAGTGATCTGAAATGTGTCCTATATACAGCTAGCTGTGAAATCGAGATAAATAGAGCTGGTATGAGAATTAAATGTAAGGGTGTGTGACCCATAGTAACGATCACTTTCAGCCTAAGAGATACAAGTACACAGGCAAATCTCAAGTAAGACACAAAGTGATAAGAAAGAAGGTTTTGGAGCAGGGATATGTCATGATAGAGTAGTGTTGAAGGAGAAAAGTATGGCAGCAGTAGCTACATATTTACTCCAACAACCAGATAATTCAGTGAAAAATACTCATCTGTCATTTAGTTAATTTTAGCTTTAGTGGTTCTTATTGAGTTGCTTGAACTGTGTAAGAGTGTTAGGTATATGGAAACATAATCCAAGATTAAAATTGGATTTTTAAAATAACTCACCTTTTTATTTTTAAAAAATATAGTTTATTGATTTTTTTACAGAGAGGGAGAGAGAGAACTAGAAACATCGATCATCTGCCTCTTGCACACCCCCTACCGGAGATGTGCCTGAAACCAATGTACATGCCCTTGACAGGAATCAAACCTGGGACCTTTCAGTCCATAGACTAATGTTCTAACGCTGAGCCAAACTGGTTTCAGCAAAACAACTCACCTTCTAACTTTTGTTGTTAACATGCAAAGTTACAATATAAAATGTCATATCTAGTAATTCATTACTATTAGTTTTAAAAGTGTCAATGATGTTTATTAAAGGTTACAGTGTATTTCTATACAGCTTGGGTGAATTAGAGCTCTAGTAAGCCAGCCAATAATTCTGGAAGAAGAAGACATTAATTATGCTTGAATCATCTTAGTGATTGAGTTATTTGACTCATGGTAGAGTGATAGACACCTTTATTTTTATTGTATTTCATGTAATATTCTGTTATTATTATTTTTTAAATATATATTTTACTGATTTTGTACAGAGAAGAAGGGAGAGAGATAGTTAGAAACATCGATGAGAGTCATCGATCAGCTGCCTCTTGCACACCCCCTACTGGAGATGTGCCCGCAACCAAGGTACATGCCCTTGACCGGAATCTAACCCAGGACCTTTCAGTCCCCAAGCCGACGCTCTATCCATTGAGCCAAACCGGTTTCGGCTCTGTTATCATTTTTGAGGTAAAAAACAAAGATGTTATTTCCCACTCATACTTGTTTGTATCTTCACTTAATTAGATCAGAATTACCATTTGAGTAATTTGAAAAAGTTTAAATACTTGTTTTCTAAGCTTTACAAGGGATAATTTAAAATAGATGAATTATATAGGGGGATAAACAGTGATGAATTTTGAATACATGAATTTTTAAAGTCAATATTTAAATAGTAACTGAAATTACAACAATAAAATACCATTTTTACTTATCAGACTGTAAGGGTAGGAGACAACTTCTGTAGTATTGACTACTTTATATGATTATATGTACAGTATTCCTTTTTGAAGAAAATGTGCTTATTGACTTTAAAAAACATTATACATATACATAAAATATAATATTTTTTCATTAAAAGTAAAATTCTTCATTTAATCCCCAACTCTTCCCAGCCCAGTCCGCACCCCAAAGGTAACACTAATTACAGTTTCATATATATCTATAATTTGTATATGTATGTTAGGTTGTGTTGTGTTTTTGTTTTTTTAATTAGCAAAAGCAATAAGGATGTTTTTTTGAAGAGATGTACTTGCTGACCTCTAGTGGTATCACTTAGTAGCACACATTTGTTATCAAATAATTTACATTTGAATTTGACTTAGGTTAAAACAGTAATAGTAAGAGAGAAATGGAGGATCTAAGCTAATATCTGGATGATTCAAACCTGTGTGTCATTTCCCTCCAAATATACAGGTAATTGGGAAAAGGGAACAGAGGGGTTAATAGTGAGGTAATTATCTACTTTGGCAGCTTTGAAATTCATAAAAGCAAGTATAACTTATTATAGAACTTATATATGAAATAATATTTTATACCATATCTTTGAGTATTATTATTATCATCAGGATTATATTTTTCAAAAGTATAATGAAACATTTCATTTGAAAAATAAAAGCATTGGTTTTCTCTTAGATATTGGGTCAGAAAGGTACACTTTCAGTTTCACCATTCGTGATTCACCAACGCATTTTATAAACGCAACATCCTGGGGCAATGAAGATTATATCAGATCACTTTCTGACAGCTTTAGGGTTGGTGAGTGTGGTAAGTTGGCATTGATTCTTAAATTGTATTTATTATAGTATTATTCCTTTGTTATGTTTGTGGTAACTACTCTGAGGTAGTCAAAATACAATACAGTAGTTGCCTTTATATACAAGGACTATGTTCCAAGACCCCCATTGAATAGATACCTGAAAATGCAGGTAGTACCAAATCACATACTATGTGTGTGTGTGTGTGTGTGTGTGTAGTGTTTTTTTCTGTACACATAGATCTGTGATAATTTATAAATTAGGTATGTAAGAGATTAACAACAATAACTAATAATAAAATAGAACAATTACAACAATATACTATAATAAAATTTATGCGAATGTGGTCTCTGTCTCTTAAAATATCTGATAACTTATCTGATCTGACAAAAGAGACAACCACTTTTTAAAGTGACTAATTGGTAGGGAGCATCTGCAGCCTGGATGCGAAGGTACGATTCACATCTCAGGGGGGATGGAGTGGGATGGCTGACCTCTAGTGGCTCGATATTTCATCACGCTATGCAGAACCACACACATTTTAAAGCTTATGAATTGTTTATTTCTGGAAATTTTCATTTAATATTTTCAGATTGCAGTTGACTGTAGGTAACTGAAACAGTGAAAAGTGAAACCATGAATAAGGGAGGACTACTGCAAGATACAATTCATAATTCTCAAAAACCCTTATCAGACAAAAAGTCAAGATTGAAGAACATAATGCAAGGCATTCAGCATTATTACTTGAAACATACAAATGTAATAGTCACATATTTTTACTTGGTAGCTTTATATCTGGTTTATTTTATATTTCAGTTTACATCAATCCCTATTGTTGCTAAAATAATTTAACATAATAGGGCTGCTAAATAGATTTTGATAAAAGAATATTTTAATTTTTAATGGATTTTTGTTGTTGTTAATTCTTATCCAAAGATATTTTTTTCCATTGATTTTTAGAGAGAGTGGAAGGGAAGGAGCGAGGGGGCGAGAGAGATCAATTGATTGCCTCCCACATGTGGGGGGCATGATGTGGGATTGAACCTGCAGCCCAGGTACCTGATCTTGACCTGAAATTTGATCTTTGACCTGTTGGTGTGAGGGCAGACAGTCTAACCATTAGCCACAGTAGCCAGGACAAATGTTTAATGGGTTTTAAGAAACTTTATTTTCAGTCTAAAACATCAAATCTTTTACATTCTCTCCCCAACCCAATATCCTTCTGGCAATACAGTGTAATATAACAAAAAGAACAAGGACTTTGAAAGCACACAGATCCTAGTTCCAACCTTTATTCATACTTAATCTTGTTGGGCCTCAATTATTAATACCTTATAGATTATCATGAATATTAAATGAATAGTGTGCTTGTTATAAAGTGTAGAATTTAGTGCACTACAAGCAATAAGAAAACATATACCCCAGCTTTCTTTCATGGCAGAAAAAAGAAGGGGATGGGTAATGCAGATAAACTACTACTCTCTAATATTGTAGTATGAAGCAGCCTAATCATATATTGCCTTGTATTATTAACTTTCAGGTTGTATGTAATATCTCTCTAACTGAATAATAGAGTAATTGAACATATGGAATTGAAGGTAGAAAATATTGCAGATTTCACAGGGCCCAGTACAATTAGAAACATTCCTTGGATAAATGCCAGAACATTAGTTATACAAAGCTAAAGATGTATTTTGGTATTAAAATATGGTATAGCCCTAGCCAGTTTGGCTTAGTAGGATAGAGCATCGGCCTGCAGACTGAAGGGTCCCAGGTTTGATTCTGGTCAAGGGCACATCTTTGGGTTGCAGGCTTAATCCCCAGTAGGGGCATGCAGGAGGCAGCAAATCAATGATTCTCATCATTCATGTTTCTATCTCTCTCTTTTTCTCCCTACCTCTCTGAAATCTTCAACTCCATATGTTCAATTACTCTATTATTCAATTAGAGAGATACTACATAAAACCCTGAAAGTTAATAATACAAGGCAATATATGATTAGGCTACTTCATACTACAATATTAAGAGAGTAGTAGTTTATCTGCATTACCCTTATATATTAATAAAAGAGTAATATGCTAATTAGACCAGACAGCCAAACGACCTTCTGGATGTCCTTCCGGGTAGCCTTCTGGACAAAGTCAGGGCTTCGAGGGCCAAGGCAAGCCACTGCAGCTGTGAGGGCCAAGCCCCTTGCACGAATTTCATGTATCAGGCCTTTGGTATATATATATGATTATATTGTATGTTGATGGTGGTTGTGAGGTTGAATGAGATAAGGGATTTTAAAAGTGTAAAATCAATAATGATTATAAATTTAAATAAGATTTCAGTGTGGTAGAGTGAAAAGATTACAGATTTTTAAATCAGAATAATTCTAATTCTAGCTCTACTACTTTCTAAATATTAAACCTTAAGAAAGTTATTTAACCTTTGTGAGCTTTAATTTTTTCATTTGTAAAAAGGGAATGATTGTGTTAGTAATTAGCAAAATAGAACACAAAAAGGTCTAATATAGACCATGAGGAAATGGAAACCCTAACATGCTAGCTCATAAGATTATTAAGTTGTTTAATTCAAATTGGGACTCAGATTTTGCATTGCTCTTTCTGCCCCATTATTATTTCCCAAGAGCAACTATGCATTGGATGAAGATCAATTAAGTGTTTATAGAAGAGCATGCTGTAATCAAATCAAATATAGGAGGGGATTTTGTAATAAAATGCTCAGTGTAATTAATCGATAAAGTAATGTTAATGTGGGTCATATGTTGGGACTTAAACACAAAGTATAAGAAATTTCATCTGGGGTCAGTTGGTCATACTCCAGGATTCTGTTTCTCCCAATGACACAAGAAAATGATTGGGAAGGATATTTAACACTAACCCAGAAATTAGAATTAACATTATAATGTTTATTATGTATATTTGTTTTTTATTTAGCCTGTTATTTTTTATAATAGCATTATACTTTTCCCTCTGCTTTAGTGATAATTGAAAATCCCTTGATCCAAAGAAAGGAATTAGAAAGAGAAGAAAAATTCAGCCCTGAAACTCCTAGGTAAATATTTAGCATAGATATCAATAATCTTTGTGCTAGAATGATTATTATAAGTTTTTGTGTGCCAAATAAGCAGCTTATTAAAGGTAAGCTCAATTTGAAAATTAGGACTTTAATTCTCCCTCACAATATTTATTTTATATTCCTATTTTTAATCCTCACCTGATGACATATATATATATATTTTAAATATATTTTATTGATTTTTCTTACAGAGAGGAAAGGAGAGGAATAGAGAGCTAGAAACATCGATGAGAGAACCATAGACCAGCTGCCTCCTGCACACCCCCTACTGGGGATGTGCCCACAACCAAGGTACATGCCCTTGACCGGAATTGAACCTGGGACCTTTCAGTCCACAGACCAATGCTCTCTCCACTGAGCCAAACCGGTTTTGGCAGGATATATATTTTTTATATTGATTTTAGAGGGAGAGGGAGGGAGGGAGAGAGAGAAATATGTTGACATGAGAGAGAAACATCAATCAGTTGCCTTTGTACTTGCCCCGAAACCTGGGCATGTGCTCTGACCAGGAATCAAACCTGTGACTCTTGTTGGTGCACGGGGATAACACTTTAACCAACTGAGCCACACTGGTCAGGGCACATAATGTTTATTATTATTATTATTATTATTATTATTAATCCTCACCCTAGAATAAATTTTTTATTGATTTTCTTTAGAGAGAGTAGAAGGGAAGGAGTGGGGAGAGAGATAGAGGAAGAGGCAGACAGAAAGAAACATCGACATGAGAGAGACACAGAGCCAGAGATCCAACCTGCAACTGATGTGTGTGTCCTTAACCAACCAATAATTGAACCCAAGACCCTTCAGTCTGAGGTCAGATGCTCCAACCACAGAGCCAAACTGGCCAGGGCAACAATATTTATTTTTTATTATGAAATAATTTACTTTGATGTAGGGTTACATGAAAAAAAATGACTTTGTTTTTATTTTTATTTTTATTTATTTTTTTAAAAATATATTTTATTGATTTTTACAGAGAGGAAGGGAGAGAGATAGAGAGCTAGAAACGTCGATGAGAGAGAAACATCGACCAGCCGCCTCCTGCACACTCCCTACCGGGGATGTGCCCGCAACCAATGTACATGCCCTTGACCGGAATTGAACCTGGGACCTTTCAGTCTGCAGACCAACGCTCTACCACTGAGCCAAACTGGTTTCGGCATGACTTTGTTTTTAATTATTTGATTCTCATTCTTAGATTTAAAAATTTTTGACTCCAGTCACATTAAAGCTGAACAATGAGAAGATGAATCTTGAAAGTCACATAGGTATATTTTCATATCAAAGAATAACTCTACTCATATACTTTGATATCTTAGTTTAAGTTCTCTCAAAGTAGAGCCTGGAAAAGGATTTGTGTGCAAATGATTTATTGAAGGTGAGCTCTCAGGAGCAGCCTTGTAAGGGAAGGGGGGTTGGGGCTAGTGTGGGAAGCTGAGCAAAGAGGCAGGTTCAGGTGGAGCTTAGTCTCAGCTGACTCATTTGCTCCTTCTCTTCTTTGAAATGTCTGCTTGATGTCACCTCCTTAGACCTTTCCCATCTACTCTGTAGTAGCCCTGCCAGTACTTACTAGGACTTCTCCCTTTGCTTTTTGTTATCATCAAAACCCCAATCACTATCTGAGATTATTTGGTTAATTGCCATGTCTCCTCACACATGTGAACTCCATGAGATCAAAGGTCTTATCTATCTTCTTCACCCTCAAGCCTAGACTGTGGTCTGGCACAGAATAGGCTCACAGTAAATATTTATGGAATGAATGAATGAATGAATGAAGGGAAGAGCATTCTTGGAAGAGGGAACAAACATGAAACCTCCTGATATCTACCAGAACAATGAATAGTAGGTTGAATAATATGAAAATGGTAATGTTTGACTATTTTTTGTCTAAAAATGTCAATTTTATAGCTAATAGTCTGATATGGCTGTTATAGGGCAAGGGCAGGAGAGAGGCAGGAGGGAAAGCTTGATAAGAGAAGCAGAAACATTTCACAGACAGCTTTGCCCATTGAAACAACTTTATTCTTTGGTGATGGCTACACAAAAGGTCTTTGAGATGGGAAATAATACACTGATATTTGTGGGTTTGGAAGATTACTTTGGTTTCCTTAGGAGGATACTGTAGGGGGAGGCAGGGCCAAAGTTTGAGTGAGAAGTAATGAGGTAAATACCTAAAGCATTAGTGGGGGAAGGGGACTTAGGAGTTGATTGGCTGGAAGGGGAGTGCCTCAATTCAAATTCAGTTGTTTATATTGAGCATCTACTTGATACAGAGAACCACAGGAGTAAGTGAAGCACAGTCCTTGATTTAAAGTCTGTAGGCAGGGTGGTCAGTGTTATAGAGATACAGATAATAAGATGTATCTGTATACAGATAACAAACATGGTATAGAGTGCTTTCATACCTGGAATAGAGTGCTTTCACAGAGAAGGAAACTGAAGCTAGAGTTTTGGGTAAGGTCAGACAACTGGTACGCTTAGCACTCAGGCACAAATTGGTCCTCGAAACATTTTCTTTTAATAAATTTTTATTGTTCATATTATTACAAATGTTCCTCTCCCCCCCCCCCTCCATTGCTCTCCTCCATCAGGTTCCCACCCCATCCTCTGCCCTTTCCCCACTCCCCATTGTCCTCATCCATAGGTGCACAGTTTATGTTCAGTCTCTTCTCACATCCCCCTCTCCCCTTTTCCCCAGGAATCGTCAGTTAACTCCCCTTCCATACCTCTGATTCTATTATATTCAACAGTTAATATTGTTCATCAGATTTTTTAAAAAATTTCCTTGGTTTTTAGATTCACTTGTTGATAGTTACGTATTTGTTGTTCATAATTTTTATCTTTATTTACTTTCTCTTCTGAAAGAACCCCCTTCAACAATTCATATAATTCTGGTTTGGTGGTGATGAACTCCTTTAGCTTTTTTTTATTAGCGAAGCTCTTTATCTGGCCTTCGATTCTGAGTGATAGCTTTGCTGGGTAGATTATCGTTGGCTGTAGGTTCTTACTCCTTGAATATTTTTTGCCATCCCCGTCTGGCCTGCATGGTTTCTATTGAGAAATCAGCTGACAATCATATAGGTGCTCCTTTATAGGTAACTACCTGCTTTGCTCTTGCTGCTTTTAATATTCTCTCTTTGTCTTTTGCTCTTGGAATTTTAATTATGATTTGTCTTGGTGCGATCCTCTTTGGATTCCTTTCGTTTGGAGTTCTGTGCACTTCCTGGACTTGTAAGTCTAATTTTTTCACCAGGTGGGGGAAGTTTTCTGTCACTATTTCTTTCGGTATGTTTTCGATATCTTGCTCTCTCTCATCTTCTGGGACCCCCATAATTCTGATGTTGGTTCACTTGAAGTTGTCCCAGAGGTTTCTTACATTATCTTCAATTTTCTGGATTCTCTTGCCTTCTAGCTTCTGCAGAGGAGTGTCTTCTGGCTCTTTATGTTCCAAATCTTTGACTTGATTCTTACGATCTTCCATTCTGTTTTTAGGACTCTGTATAATATTTTTTATTTCAGACAATGTATTCTTTATTTCTTGTTGATCCCTTATCATTTCTTGTTGATTCCTTATTAATTCTAGTTGATGCCTTTTCATATCCTCATAGGTCTTATTGACCTTTTCTAAGAAATTCTTGAAAAACCTTATAAGCATAGATTTGAACTCTATATCTAGTCGCTTTTTGTCCTCCATTTCTTTCGTTTGTGACCGATTTCGTTGCATTTTTGCAGCTTCCCTGATGGGGCAAGGTTTCAGGGTGGAGCCTGCAGCCTTGGCTTCCGTCAGCCCTGCTCTATGCTGTTCCTGGGTCTCAGTAATCCCCAGGGTCCTTCAGTACTCGCTGCAAGCACCTCTGAGATTTTCACCTGCTACCAAACAGTCTAGCCTCTCCCCCAATGAATCCGGAACTGGGGTTCAGTTCAGTTGGAAGTGGAGTTGGAGGTGGTGTTCAGAGCAGTCTGGAGCCCCTGTCTCCTTTCCAGCAGGGCAATCCCGCGGCCCAGCCAACCATCCCTTCTCTGCGCGCAATGTGCGCGCCGCTGGGACCTCCTTTTGCCGCTTCCCCAGGGTTCTGCCTTACAGCCCAGCTCCCTATGGATGAGCCTGGGTCTCCGGGGTCTGGCCTAGAACTGGGGTTCAGAGCAGTCGGAACTGGGGCCCAGCACAGTCGGAGTTTTATCTCCTTCCCGCTAGGGAACGCCAGCCAGGCACTCAGCCTCCCTCCTCTCCGGCTCCGTCCTCTCTGTGAGCCGTGTGTCTCCGTACCTTGGGCTTTTCCAGCTCCTCCGCGCTTCCTTCTGGTTTTCTCCTTGCTTCTCGTTGTAGAATTTCCAGTCAGTTGACTTTCCTGTAGTTCTGGGTAATGTCCATTTTATATTTTAGTTGTATTTTATTGAAATTGTTGTGTGCTGCTGTGGCTAGGTATTTACCTGTGCAGCCATCTTGGATTCTCCCGAAACATTTTCTTAATGAAAATATATTTCAGACAAAAATATTTTACTATATTTTTATTGTTTCTATGAGTAAAATGTATAACTTTTCTTAATCTAGTCTAAATTATAATAAAAAATAATTTAACTGGGAACCTGGAAATATTTTTCTATTTTAAATCATGTAATAGTAACTTTTTGTGTGTGTTTACCATTTAGTGACTGTAAACTATTGCTCAGTGGAGATCACTCAACAGTAAAAGTTTGTTCCAGTTATGAAGTGGACACCAAGTTACTTTCTTTGATACACTTACCCGTTAAAGAATCTCGGGATTATTATTCATTGGGTGATATTATTGCAAATGGACACAGTCTTGAAGGGAGAATTATTAATGTGCTTGCAGCTGTGAAGTCGGTAAGTTTAAATCTCAATAAAGTTCAATTTGGCAGGGAAGTTCTATCACTTAGTATTTGGAAAATAGTAACCATCTGGAGTAATTATTCCTCTGTATCTTGATCTGTATTCAGTTGAATTAAGAAAATGATATCACTTCTCATTAAAAGTTAAGTAGCATTTTATCTGTGAATGAATAACAATATAAAATCGTATTTAAATGTTAAATGCAGTACACACTCATAAATGACCCACTATATGAGAGCCTTTTTATACTTTGGTTACAGAGGCAAATGGAAGGGGTAAATTCATTGATTTGAAGATTACAATGAAGTTACAGGGATATAAGTTATATAAATCAAGGAATCAATTCTGGGCCTGTTTCAGAGCTGCCCTGAGATGGGAGAGAGAGTGAGAATAGTGAACTGAACTGTAGTTGGGGCCTGGTGACCTACTGCACAGCATCATGTGGTGAAAGCAGGGAAAGACAACACTCCATGGGGCTCTGGGAGTGTTTCACCATTTGTTACATCAGAATCTCCCTCTTACTTAATTGTTGCCCAAGTTTTGAACTCTGTTGGACAGACTAGAGTCATTAAGAGGTGGACCTTAAAATTAAAGTTTCACAATGCCCTAGCCAGTTTGGCTCAGTGGATAGAGCGTTGGCCTGCGGACTGAAAGGTCCCAGGTTCAATTCCGGTCAAGGGCACATGCCCAGGCTGTGGGCTCAATCCCCAGTGGGGGGCTTGCAGGAGGCAGCCAATCAATGATTCTCTATTATCATTGATGTTTTTATCTCTCTCTCCCTCTTTCCTCTCTGAAATCAATAAAGATATATTAAAAAAAAATAAAGTACACAAAGAAAATTAAAGGGGCTAGATCAGTTTATCTCAATGGAATGATGGTAGTGAAAAGACAAAAAAGGGGAAAAAAAGGAAATGGATTTAGGTACTTGTAGTTAATGTTGTTAGTAATTGCTAATTGCTTTTCCGTATTAAATGATTAACTAATATGAGTGTCAACTATACTCGATGATAGGCCCTTGATGGCAGAGGCATGTGTTTTTGTTCATCACTGTAGTTAAAGCCTAGCACAGTGCCAGCCACATAGTGAGCACTCACTCAATATAATCCAGATGGAGGAATAAACACCTTACATGACAATGGTGAAAAGTAGGAGAAATTACTTTCTTGGCAATTTAGATCCAATCTTACTTAAAGGCGGGATATGATCTTTCAGTTTCCCTGCAGCCTTATATAATATCATTATATTACAACTTAGTAAGAATTTTCTAACATTCAGTATAAACATAAGCCAAAACCTGCAACAGCTTTTTCCATGTATCTTCCTCTACCTCCACCCTATGAGTCTGTACCTTCTATAGAATTACATTATTTCTTTTTTTCACTGCCTTCTCTCATTTTGCTTCCATCCCTCCTACATTTATTTTCTTCACATTTTAATTAACCTGTTCTCTCTTCCTTCTTACCTCTGGTTAGGTCTCTTAACTTTAAAACTCTTCTTGTACAATTTTCTCTTTGGTACAAGAGGCCTGTTGTGATATGGCAGGCCTCTTTCATACTCTGGCTGTCCTTTCCTACAACTTTCTTTCTGGATGCTGCTCTTCTGCTGGAAGCTGTGAGTCTTTCTTCAGCTCCTTCCTGTGGAGCTCAGTTAATAGATGAAGTGGTGACAGTGGCATAGGGTGCAGCCAGTTGTTAGTCTGTTCTTGGAACATTGCTATGTGACTGTCAGAGGTGTCTGCTGTTTCATGTGAGAACACCTGGGCCTCTGACAAGAAAGGTCTCTGAGTTCACCTTCATTTTCAAGATGGAAATGAGGGATGTGAGAGAAAGTGTTTTGACAGAGTGTGGATTGAATCAGACTGTGTCAAAGCACTTTCCCATACATCCATCATTTGGTCCTCACCATGTTGTCCTTATAAAGGCACAAAGGAAGTATTGATATTCATGCCTGCACTAGAAAGATGAGGACACTGAGAATCAGAGAGACTGAGTTTATTTATTTATTTATTTTTAAAAATATATTTTATTGATTTTTTACAGAGAGGAGGAGAGAGGGATAGAGAGCTAGAAACGTCGAGAAGAGAGAAACATCGACTAGCCGCTTCTTGCACACACCTCCACTGGGGATGTGCCCGCAACCAATGTACATGCCCTTGACCGGAATCGAACCTGGGACCTTTCAGTCCGCAGACCGACGCTCTACCACTGAGCCAAACAGGTTTCGGCAAGACTGAGTTTATTTAGTCACATGAATTCTGTGCCAGGCCCTGTACTAAGCCAGGGGGATACACAGATGTTGAAAATATACTTTCTATCTTTAATGAGCCTATATAGATGCCACCCATGGGCTTGTTATGGAACATTTGTTCTGTTATATAGAAAAGACTCCAAAATCTTAACTTAAAATACATATATTTGAACTTCTCTTCAAACTGTGCAACAACATCAGTTAAATACACCTAGCTTAGAGATAGATACTTTTTAATATATATATATATATATATATAATTGATTTTTTACAGAAAGGAAGGAAGAGGGATAGAGAGTTAGAAACATCGATGAGAGAGAAACCATAGATCAGCTGATCAGCTGTCTCCTGCGCACCCCCTACTGGGGATGTGCCTACAACCAAGGTACATTTCTTTGACTGGAATCTAACCTGGGATCCTTCACTCCACAAGCCGACGTTCTATCCACTGAGCCAAACCAGTCAGGGCAAGAGATAGATGCTTTTAAGGCATCTATATAATTATATCTAATAAAAATAATATGCAAATTGACCATCACTCCAACACACAAAATGGCTGCCCCCATGTGGTCAAAGATGGCTGCCCCCATATGGACACAAGATGGCCAGCAGGGGAGGGCAGTTGGGAGGGTCCAGGCCTGCAAGGGAAAACAGTTAGGGGCGATTGGGCCTGCAGGAAAAGGCAGTTGTGGGGGACCAGGCCTGCAGGGGAGGGCAGTTAGGGGCAAACAGTCTGGCAAGGGAGCAGTTAGGCATCAGTCAGGCTGGCAGGGGAGTGGTTAGGGGGTGATCAGGCTGGCAGGCAGAAGCAATCAAGCCAGGCAGGCAGGCGAGCAGTTGGGAGCCAGCAGTTTGGATTGTGAGAGGAATCTCTGACTGCTTGTTTAGACCTGATCCCTAAACAGGCAGTCGGACATATCTTGAGGGGTCCCAAATTGGAGAGGGTGCAGGCTGGGCTGAGAGACACACACCAGTATGTAATAAAAGCCTAAGTGATCGTTATGGCGGAACGACCAGAATGATTGGTCGCTGTGATGTGCACGGACCACCACGGGGCAGATGCTCAATGCAGGAGCTTCCCCCTGGTGGTCAGCATGCTCCCAAGGGGGAGTACCGCTCAGCCAGAAGCCAGGTTCACGGCTGGCGAGTGCAGTGGCAGTGGCAGGAGCCTCTCCCACCTCTGTGGCAGTGCTAAGGAGCAGTGAGTGAGCTGTAAGGAACAGCGAGCAGGTCGGTGAAAGGAGCAATGGGTCCTGGACTGCGAGAGGAATGTCCACTGAGGTGTCCTAGCCTGCAAAAGGGCACAGGCTGGGCTGAGGGACACCCCCCTCCAGTGCACGGATTTCATGCACTAGGCCTCTAGTTAAATATATATCCGTGGTTCTTGTATTTTGATGTTTCTTACTTGCTATTTAAAGGGTAAACATCTGAGTCTTCCATCAACAAATATTTAGGTACCTGTACTATTATAGATGAAGAATAATGATTTTCTTCAATTTCTAAGGTTGGAGAGCCAAAATACTTTACAACTTCAGATCGAAGAAAAGGCCAGAGGTGTGAAGTTAAACTCTATGATGAGACGGAGTCTACTTTTGCAATGATATGGTAACCTCCCGTTTCTGTTCCAAAATGTGAAATCCCTAGTATTATCAAGACAATATTTTTATTTTATCAAAAATATGATGGATTTAGTGTCAGGAGAGGAATGATAGGAGAGAAATGATATTTTAAAAATAAACCTCACTTCTTACAGTCTGTGCTATAAGATTTACCTTAAAATGAGATCTTTAGTGACATGTGACTAGTGTATTATTGCACTGTCTTTTATTAAAAATGATAATTTATTAGGACCTATTGATAATGAACATGCCAGATTTTTCATAATTCTTTGGGTAGTACCCTGGAGCCAGACCATGGAAAAATGATAGAAAAACAAGTGTTGTCATAGGCTTGTTTCTGTAGGGTGCCTGGTGTGGGCACATGGGCAGGACTACATTCTGAAGTACTGTAGGGTATTGCATGACATTGTTTAGACTCCAGATGCCTGGGTACCAAAAGGCGCTAAATTTGAAATGAGCCTTCAATCCATCAAGTGCCCTGAGCAGATTATCCAGTGGGGCCCTCCCTTAATAGTCTGAAATAGTGTCTTTAAAATCTTTAGACTCGTAGTCACTCTGTTCTAAGTAGCCAGGAGTGACCTTAGTGATGGGAAAAGAAAGAATTGATGGAGCAGAAGTTGTTAAAGATTAATGGTATTGGAGGAAGGATTGATCATGTAGATGTTAAATGCTCTGTGAAATAGTATAACTGCAAAATGCAGGAGAAATCAACATCTTTAACCACATGGGCAATGGGTCACCCCGCCCTAAGATATTATTTTGGTAAATAATGTTTGCTGCCAGTTTTTTTCTAATGTAGTCAATTTTCATCTCTTCTTCTTCTTCTTCTTTTTCTTTTTCTTCTTCTTCTATGTGCAGTTGGGATAATGAATCCATTCTACTTGCACAGAGCTGGGTGCCACGAGAAACAGGTATCATACTGCAATGATTGTATTCAATATTTGTCATTTTTTATCTCCCCATGTAATAACTTAAAAATGGCTTTTTCCCCAAACAGTAATATTTGCCTCAGATGTAAGAATAAATTTTGACAAATTTCGAAACTGCATGGCAGCAACTGTAATCTCAAAAACCATTATTACAACTAACCCAGGTAAAAAGTTATCTGAAACTTTTTATCCCTTTGGAAATGACTATCACATAGTCCAATATTTGTGTATTTAAGAATGAAAACAAAGCTTATAAAACAAATATTGTTTTATATGACTTTTAAAAATTATCTTTCCCTCCATGATCCTCTCTACAACTTCCCCCTGCTCCCATCTTTATATGACTTTTTGTTGTTGTTGTTGTTCATCCTCACCTAAGGATGTTTTCCCATTGATTTTTAGAGAGAGTAGAAGGGAGGGGGAGAGACAGAGGAAGAGAAACATTGATTGGTTGCCACCTACATACTTCCAAAATGGGATTGTTTTAACAAAGGTCTATTTGTATACTTCCCTTAATTATGTACTCCCCTTTACATTTTTAAATTTTATTCCCTTTTGTTAATAAAATGGGCAACAGTTAAAAATAATTTTGGATCTTTCACAATTATTTAAAAAGTAATCAGTTTGATTTTTAATTATTATGCATTTTCAATTTAAGAGACACCAGAAGCTAACATCTTATTGAATTTTATAAGAGTAAATAAAGAAACAAATCCTCAGGATGATGCAATTGACAGTTATTTGGAAGAATCCATAAATTGTAAGTGACCTTTAAATATTATTTGAATTTTTAAAGGACCAAAATTGGGGCCTATAAAGTTTTGTTTTACATAATGAAAGATCCTATATTCTTCTTCTTTTTTAAAAATATATTTTATTGACTTTTTACAGAGAGGAAGGGAAAGAGATAGAGAGCTAGAAACGTTGATGAGAGAGAAACATCGACCAGCTGCCTCTTGCACACCCCCTGCTGGGGATGTGCCCGCAACCAACATACATGCCCCTGACGGGAATCGAACCTGGGACCTTTCAGTTCGCAGAATGATGCTCTACCACTGAGCCAAACCGGTTTTAGCAAGATCCTATATTCTGATTCTATAACTGCTATATTTCCACTTTTTAAAGTAGTTTTAAACTCTTGGAGCTTTCTATAATCTTTTGTCAATCTGATGAAAGCTAAAAAATGAGTTGACTATGGGTGGTTTTTTTTCTCATTGATTTTTAAGAATTCTTTAGATATTTTTTTGTCTTTTGCTAGCATCTCCCACTGTGTAGTTTGCCTTTTCACTCTTTTAAAATCATCCTTTGATAATCATAAATTCTTTATTTTAATGAACATTAATTTCTCATTGTTTCCATGTTTATTGTTTTTTTTTTGCTTTCCCCTCATTTATATTAATAAATTTTAATATAGGAAGTGTAATAATTGTTTTATTACTTAACTAAAGCTTCTACATGTTCTCATTTGAACTTTGTAGCTTTCCTATTTGGATATAATTTTTAGAATATGTACAGAGAGAACTATAATAACTTCTTTTTATTTTTAGTAAATACAATAGTTGATGTCTATACAGTTAAACAATTAAAGGTAAAAGCTTTGAAGAATGAAGGAAAACATCCTTTTTATGGCATTCTTTATGCTTACATTTCTACACTGAACATTGATGGTGAAACTACAAAAGTAGTTCGAAATAGATGGTAAGCAGTCAAACTATTTTTAGCAAATTCATTCTTGTAAGAAATAAAAAAACAATTATTGTTAATAAACTTTTAAGATCTGTAAAAGTTTAAGCTATATTTGGGCATCACCGTGGTTATACACTTGAGGGAAATGTATAAGTAAGTAACTTATACTGAAATTTCCAGGCAAATTATTTAGATTTAAAGATTTTAATTTTCTTTTAAAGAAAATTTTAAATTAAAAGGCAATTTTATCTGTAGTCATAAACTATAATATAATGATATGATATTGCCAGAAACTTTTTTTAAAAAATATTTTTATTGATTTTTTACAGAGAGGAAGGGAGAGAGATAGAGAGCTAGAAACATCGATGAGAGAGAAACACCGACCAGCTGCCTCTTGCACACCCCCTACCGGGGATGTGTCGGACCAACATACATGCCCCTGACCGGAATCGAACCTGGGACCTTTCAGTCCGCAGACTGACGCTCTACCACTGAGCCAAACCGGTTTCAGCACTGCCAGAAACTTTTAACTAGAATGACTAATTGTTATTTTATAATGTATTAGAAAATTATTTTGGTTGACACATTTTATAGCAAAAATTTTTATTGATTTCAGATTTATTGAAACCAGATTTTTATTGAATTCAAAGAGGAAGTGAGAGAGAGATAGAAACGTCAATGATGCGAAAGAAGCATTGATTGGTTGCCTCCTGCACACCCCACACTGGGGATTAGCCCCATCCTAGACATATGTCCTACTGAACAATGACCTCCTGGTTCATAGGTTGATGCTCAATCACTGAGCTACACTGGCTGGGCAAGTGACTGCATTTAAAAAAATTATTTTCAACTGCATGATGAATGACTTCTAACCACTCATAGGTCAAAATATCTATTGCATAGAAAAGTAAGCCCCAGAAGAATTAATAGTCTTATCCAAAAGATAGTTGGCAAGAAATGTCTAAAATGTTATTGTGAAAATCTCCCTATGGGCTTTTGTAATAGAAATTTTTATGGAGATAAGTTCCAGGTTAACATGGAGTTTTAAGAAATAGTATGGAAAGAGTCCATGTGCACTTTGACCAATTTCCCCCAAAGTATCACATCATAGCCACGATATTTATATTAATTCTATCCACTCATTTTAAATACATTTTTATTGACATCAGAGAGGAAGTGGGTAGGAAGAGAGAGATAGAAACATCAGTGATGAGAAAGAATCATCAATTGGGTACCTCCTGCATGCCCCACTGGGTATTCAGCCAAAACCTGGGTATCTACTGTTGTATCGTAAATCATCAAGTGAGATACTTGATGAGCCAATTAATTAAGAGTCATTTATTGCACACCGCCCAGAGGGAGGTGTTTCTTCCAAATCTCTGAGCAAAGTCACACAAAAAGTTTTTCATATTTATATCTTTTGAGCTTCTTTGCAGATTTTACAAAGGGCTCTGTGGGAGTTATTGTTACAGACAGTTGTAACCTTGGATACATAATGAGTTAGTGCTTGGCATAAGAATATGGGAATTATTATCAGTATTAGTTTATATTAGTCTATTACATTGGATGGCTAGCTTGCAAGGTCAGACAGTTAAGTTTATCTTTTTCTATTATTCAAACTAAAAACAAAGTCATTTTATAGAATAAGAGACTGTCTTAAAGTGAGAGTTCACAATGACAGAGCTTACAAGGCAAGGAACTAACAATAGCAGAGAATTTCAAACAGGGGTTTTTATAAAAGATGGAGGTTACTATGCTTCAGCACCCTGACTGGGAATCAAATCATGACCTCCTGGTTCATAGGTTGAAGTTCAACCACAGAGCCACACTGATTGGGCTCAATCCACTTATTTATTCAAATTTCCCCAGATTGACATGCAGTCATTTGTGTGCACATGTGTATATTAAGTTCTATATGGTTTTATCACATGTATAGGTTTGTTTGCCTGTGACCACAGTCAAGATATTGACTTACGATTTAAAAAAAAAAAATCCTCACCCAAGGGTATGTTTTTATGGATTTTTAGAGAGAGAGGAAGGGAAAGAGAGAGAGAAACATCTACGTAGAAGAGAAACAGTGATCGGTTGCCTCCCATACATGATCTGACATAGGATCAAACCAACAACCTTGGTGTATGGGGAGGATACTCTAACCAACTGAGCTACCTGGCCGGGGCAGTTGACCTATAGGTTTTTAAAACACTTTATGATTTAGTATTAAAGTTGAAAAAAAAAATATAGAGGCTATTGTGTAAGGCAGTTATTTTTTTTGAAAAATATTTTCCACAAATTTTAAATAAATTTTGTCTCATTTTTTTCTACAGCTTTAGTATTTATATGTGAAGAAAAGCATCTAATATTTACTTTAAATGTGATCTGTGGCTAGATAAGAAACCACTATCTTCAGATCACTCTCTTTTCTTGAGAAATTTTAATTAGTCCTTTCCAAATTGGCTGAAGTAAGACATGCTTCAAAAATATGAAATAGCATGTAATTGCCACTTAAAGAGAGGTGAATGTGTCACTGGTGGTACTAATAGCATTTAGGGTGTGAACTTGCCCAACCCTACGGCTTTTCTGTAGGTGTACTGACGACCTGATAAGTACCATCAAGTGAGCATTTGTGGAACCTAGACTTTCTAGACACAAGACACAATTCCTGTCCTTAGGACAGCCCCAGGGCGATAAGATGGACATGCCTGCAATAACAAGGAATGGGATGTGACAGAATTTAGTCAGTGTTGAGTATAAATTCTGCAGCTGTACACTGTTCAGAGAAGGGAAGAGTGAAGGTTGTGTGTGTATGTGGAGGGATGGGGAGGTTGGGGAGGGGAGACAAGAAAGGAAGGCCCTTGTAGGGAAATGAGCTTGGGCAGGACCCAGCATGGGGTAAGGTAGGAAGCCGGACAATGAGCTTATCCCAGTTTCAGATGAATCACAAATACTAAGGAAGACTGAGAACACATGTGGAATTATTCCTTGTAATTTTATATGTTTGTCTTGTATCCTGTGCAGAACTGAGCACTCTGAAATTACTTACTCTGATTTAGACTTTCAAGCAATAATTCTGCTGGAAAGCAGATTTGTCACTTAGGCCCTTCACATTGTATCATTGTCCTCCCTTTCTTTTCAGTTCAAGCTGTGGTTACATTGTAAATGAAGCATCCAGCATTTGTACAACTTGCAACAAAGATTCTTCGAAGTTTAAATCCGTTTTTCTCAGCTTTGATATGCTAATTGATCTTACTGACCACACAGGTACCCTCCATTCCTGTAGTCTCACAGGAAGTGTTGCTGAGGAGACTTTGGGCTGCACGGTAAATAGCAAAAAGAAACTATGTTTGGAAATATGTCCAAATTGGATTTTCTTCCTCCAAAATATAGGTTATTTTGGTGAACATTTGATAGCAATTAATTTATTAATAAAGAGGTCTGTGAAAAATCAATCTTGATTTAAATATACATTGCTTTCTTTAATGAACAAGTAATTATATATTATATATTAAAACCATAGCTAATATTATTAGGAATGACAGAGCTCTGGACCATAGTGGAGAATAAACAAGACATTTATATAGTCAAATAACAATGGGTAAAACAACACATTGAAGATGTCAATCAGTTATGAAGTAGCTCTTCCAGAAGGAGAGTTTGGCGATATTTCATACACTCAGCTGTAGAAAGTCAGCCACAAATGTTCCCCATCGTAGGACAGCAGCAGCAGATACTTAGAGATTAGAGTGTTCACTTGATGATAAGCACTTGTTTCTTATTGTTAAAACCAGCTCCTGAAGTTTACCATTAAATCACTAGTTCCAAGTGATCTCCAGTTTGTCAAGAGGAGTTTTCTGTGCAAATACACCCAATTAGCTTCAGAGATTCAGTTTAGAGGAGATATCTGGCCTTATCTCATCCATCAAAAGAATTGAGCTGTAATTATGTGAATAAAATTCCACTTTTAGTGAGAAAATTGATGTTTCTCCTTAAGATGAGTTATCTATACAAACTTTGGAAATACTTGTTTATTTTTTAAATCAGGTAAATGAGTTTCTTGCAATGACGGATGAACAGAAAACAGCATTAAAGTGGCAATTTCTTTTGGAAAGAAGCAAGATTTATTTAAAAGTTAGTATATTTTACAGTACTATGTTATTCTATATATTTAAACCAAAGAAAATCCTAGAGTTTGACCAAATAAATAAGGAATTTTTTTATTTTAATGAATCCCAATTCCCAGATGTGCAGAAGGATTTGACTACTGTAGAAACAACGGAAGTAATCAGTTTTTTCATATAGCACAAAGTAGTTACAAATGACACCAAATAAATAGGTCAACAAAGAAAATACCCAGTAATGTTAACTCCAAGATTAGGCACCTGGCTTTAGGGTTAAGATGGGTCTTGTCCCACCCACAAAACCCATGTGGCAATCTCCTCACTTCAGTGAGCGGGCTGTAAGGGCATATGGTTAAATGCTTGGATGCTGGGATGAGACAGACTCAAGTAAGAATTCCAATTCCACATTCCTCAGCCTGTGTGACCCTGGGGAGGTGAATTAACTTCTCTAAGTCTCTAAAATTCTGTAATCCTAAAACTCAGATCAGACTCCTGCAGCACCAATAACACTACAGTGTTGGAGGTTCATAGAATCTTTGTTTTAAAGATGTAAAGGGAAGTGAGCCAAATTCCCCTTGTTTTGCAAATGAGGAAAATAGGACCAAGAAATGTCGCCACTAGCCCGAAGTCACAGGAGAGACAGGGCTACTGCCTACATTATTACTCTCCTCCCATCATTCGCAAATGTTTTCTCCTTTACACTCTTAAGGGTCTTGAAGCTCTTGTTTGAGTTAAATCTGTTTGTGTTTACTGTACTAGAACTTAACATTAAGAAAAATGTAAAACAGCCAAAACCGGTTTGGCTCAGTGGATAGAGCGTTTGTCTGCGGACTGAAGGGTTCCAGGTTTGATTCCGGTCAAGGGCATGTACATTGGTTGCGGGCACATCCCCAGGAAAGGCTGTGCAGGAGGCAGCTGGTCGATGTTTCTCTCTCATCAATGTTTCTAGCTCTCTATTCCTCTCCTTTCCTCTCTGTGAAAAATCAATAAAATATATTTTTTTAAAAAGAAAAGAAAAAAAAAGTAAAACATATTCATGAGCATGCATTTCATTATCTGTAGTGATATGATCCCCTGTCATGTAACCTCAAGAAAACTACAGAGCATTCTGATGAATGAGAATAAAAAAGGAAAATAGCCGAGACCAGTTTGGCTCAATGGATAGAGCGTCGGCTTGGGAACTGAAGGGTCCCGGGTTTGATTCCGGTCAAGGGCATGTATCTTGGTTGCGGGCATATCCCCGGTGGGGGGTGTGCAGGAGGCAGCTGATCGATGACTCTCATCGATGTTTCTAACTATCTCTCTCCCTTCCTCTCTGTACAAAATCAATAAAATATATATTTTTTTAAAAAAAAAAAGGAAAATAGCATCTTAGTATTATTTAGAAAAATAGTTGTGATCTCATGGATACCCTGAAATAGTCTTTGAGAATACTGCATCACTTCATCTCAGCCTCATAAGCAGATTTTTACATGTTCTAGTGTCTTTCTTCCCTTGTGGCCTCAACTCTGAACTCAATGTCTGAATTAGGTTTCAGACATGGAGTCACCAATGTCTCACCAATATGTCTAGGACCTTGGCTCAAGGATTCTTCATTACTAGACTGAAGGGAGGAAATTACAGTAATATACTGTACCTCTTCCACTATTTGATATAAATACTGACCATTAGTAGATATAACTACTGCCTATTCCCAAAACAGAATATACTCAGATCCTTGACCAACTTTATTTTTCCTCTAAATAGGAGATATCACTTGCTAATGAGTTTGATAAATTTAAATATATGGCAACTTATTTATAATTTTCCATACTTGATGATTCAAATATAACAACTAATTGCTTCAAACAAAGGGAGATGCTGTACCTTTCCAAAGACTATGTTAAAAAGTTGTTTAAGTCAGATTTACAAAAAATTTAAGCAGATAAAATGACTATATCACAGAATGTAGTAAAGATTATGAGAATAAAATACAATTTCATTTGTTATAAATAAGTTGAAATAGAACATTGAATTTAAAAAATAAGTAATTACATTGCTCTGCTATATATGATAAAAAACGTATTCTACATATGTTGAAGACTATATATTTATCATATTTTAATTAAAAAACAATGACTAAATGGTTAATTTGGAGGGATTTCAAAGTGAGGTATTTATTGTACTTTCTAAAATTAAATCTTTATTGTTAAAAATATTACATATGTCCCCCTCTCCCCATTGAATCTTTCTAGCCTGCCCCCACCCTCACCCCTGGTCTTCACCACCCTACTGTCTGTGTCCATGGGTTGTGCATATATGCATACAAGTTCTTTGGTTGATCTCTTCCCACCCACCCACTGCCTTCCCTCTGAGAACCTACAGTCTGTTCTCTGACTAGCTTATTTTTCTTACTCTCCAGGTCCCTCCATGCTGTCTCAAAGGGTAAAAGAGCCTTCTTTTTTACTGCTGCATAGTATTCCATTGTGTAAATGTACCACAGCTTTTTTATCCACTCATCTACTGATGGGCACTTGGGCTATTTCCAGATCTTAGCCATTTTAAATTGTGCTGCTATGAACATTGGGGTGCAAACACTCTTTCTGATTGTGTTTCTGATTTCTTAGAATATACTGGTATTCCTAGAAGTGGGATCACTGGGTCAAATGGCAGTTCCATATTTGATTTTTAAAGGAAACTCCATACTGTTTTCCATAATGGCTGCACTAGTCTGCATTCTTACTAGCAGTGTACTAGGTTTCCCTTTTCTCTACAACCTTGCCAACACTTGTCATTTATTGATTTGTTGATGGTAGCCATTCTGACAGGTGTGAGGTGATACCTCATTGTCATTTTAATTTGCATCTCTGATCTCTGATGATCAGTGATTCTGAGCATTTTTTCATATGTCTCTTGGCCATCTGTATGTCTGCTTTAGAGAAGTCTCTATTTAGGTCCTTTACACATTTTTAAATTGTCTTCCTTTTGTTAAGTTGTATGAGTGCCTTATATATTTTGGATATTAACTCTTTATCAGATGTATCCTTGCCAAATATGTTCTCCTATACAGTGGGCTCCCTTTTCATTTTGTTGATGGTTTCTTTTGCTGTGCAGAATATTTTATTTTTATGTAGTCACATTTGTTTATTTTCTCTTTAGTTTCTTCTGCCCTAGAATATATATCCATAAACATATTATCTGATATTTGGCTGCCTATGGTTTCTTCTAGGATTTTTATAGTCTCACGACTTACATTTAAATCTTTTATCTATTTTTAGTTTATTCTTCTGTATGGTGTAAGTTGGTGGTCTAGTTTCATTTTTTTTGCATGTATCTGTCCAATTTTTCCAACACCACTAATTGAAGAGACTGCCTTGACTACATAGTATGTTCTTGCCTCCTTTGCAAATATTAATTGAGCATAAATGCTTGGGTCAATTCCTGGAGTCTCTGTTGTGTTCCATTGATCTATATGCCTGTTCTTGTGCCAGTACAAGGCTGTTTTGATTACAGTGGCTTTGTAGTATAACTTGAAATCTGCTATTGTGATCCCTCCAACTTTATTCTTCTTTCTCAAAATTGCAGCAGCTATTTGGGACCTTTTTTTGTTTTGTATAAATTTTTGGAGAATTTGTTCTACATCTGTGAAATATGCTATTGGTATTTTAATAGGGGTTGTATTGAATCTGTAGATGCTTTGGGTAGTATGGACATTTTAATGATGTTATTTTTACCAATCCATGAACACTGTATATTATTCCACCAGTTTATATCTTTCTCTATCTCTTTTTTTCAATGCCCTGTAGTTTTCTGAATACAAGTCTTTTACCTCTTTGGTTAGTTTATTCCTAAGTATCTTAATTTTTGTTGTTGTTGTTGTTGCACTGGTAAATGCGATTGTTTGTTTAGTTTCTCTTTCTGAGAATTCATTATTAATGTATAAAATGCCATTGATTTTTGGGTGTTGGTTTGGTATCCTGCTACATTGCCAAATTCATTTATCAAATCTAGTAGTTTTCTTGGTAGAGTCTTTAGGGTTTTCTGTGTACAATATCATGTCATTTGCAAATAATGGAGAATTTTACTTCCTTCTTTTCAATTTAGATGCCTTTTATTTCTTCTTCTTGAGTGATTACTGTGACTAGGACTTCCAGTCTTATTTTGACTAAGAGTGGTGAAAGTAGACACCCCTGTCTTGTTCCTGTTGTTAGGGGAAATGGTTTTAGTTTTTGCCCTTTGAATATGATGTTTACTGTCAGTTTGTCATATATGGCCTTTATCATGTTGATCCTTCTATTCCCACATTGCTGAGAGTTTTTATTAAAAATGGGTGTTGGGCCATAACCGGTTTGGTTCAGTGGATAGAGTGTTGGCCTGTGGACTGAGGGGTCCCAGGTTTGATTATGGTCAAGGGCATGTACCTTGGTTGTGGGCACATCCCCAGTAGGGGGTGTGCAGGAGGCAGCTGATCAGTATTTCTCTCTCATTGATGTTTCTAACTCTTTTTCCCTCTCCCTTCCTCTCCATAAAAATATATATGTGCTGAGTCTTGTCAAATGCTTTTTCTGTATCTATTGATATGTTCATGTGATTTTTGTTTTTCATTTTGTTTATGTGATGTATCACATTTATTCATTTGTGAATATTGTACCAGCCTTGCATTCCTGGAATAAATATCACTTGGTCATATATATGATCTTTTAATATATTGCTGGATCCAACTTGCTAATATTTTGTTAAAGATTTTAGCATCCCTGATCATTAGGGATATTGGTCTGTAATTCTCTTTATTTGTAGTGTCTTTATTTGGTTTTGGAATTAGTATAATGCTGGCCTCATAAAAAGAGCCTGAAAGTGTTCCTTCCTCTTGGATTTTTTGAAATACTTTGAGGAGGATAGGTGTTACCCTGTTTCCCCGAAAATAAGACAGTGTCTTATATTAATTTTTGCTCCCAAAGATGCTCTAGGTCTTATTTTCAGGGGATGTCTTATTTTTCCATGAAGAAGAATACGTTACACATTTATTGCTAAATGAAAATAAAGGAAATTTATTACCTGTATACGGTACAGTAGTATGGTAGTTGTCAACACAAACCAGACAAACTGTGAATCCTATAGTATCAAGAATTTACTCATTTATTCAATGACAATCATGTCATCATCTTCTGGAACATCATCATAACAATCCAATTCCTGAATTTCCTGATGAATTTCTTGTGACTCCATTTCTTTCAGAATCAGTGGACCAAATCTCTCATGTTTAGCCTGGGGGGGCCTTATTTTCGGGGGGATGCCTTATATTTCACTCAGAAGGAAACCTGTAAGTAGGTCTTATTTTCGGGGAAACACGGTAGTTCTTTTTTGAAGAACCAGGGCTTTTCTTTGTTGGGAGTTTATTTTTTATTTTTTATTACTGCTTTCTATTTCATCAGTTGTTATTGGCCTATTCTGGTTTTCTGATTCTTCCTGATTTAGTTTTGGGAGATTGTATTTTTCTGGGAATTTGTCCATTTCATCCTCATTATCCAGCTTATTGGCATATAGTTACTCTTAGTATTTTCTTACAATCCTTTGTATTTCTGTGGTGTCAGTTGTTACTTTTCTGCTCTTGTCCTGATTTTATTTATTTGGGTTCTCTTTCTTTGTTTCTTGATGAGTCTGGATAACAGTTTATCAATCTTATCTATCTTTTCAAAGAACCAGCTCTTGGTTTATTGAATTTTTTTTCCTCTATGTCATTTATTTCTGCTCTAATCTTTATTATTTCTTTCCACTTTCTCTGGGCTTTTCTTGTTCTTTTTCTAATTCTTTTGATAGGTCCTCCCTTTCTCCAGTTGATGGACAGATGTAAACCCCACCTACGGCCAGACATTCCTGAGCTCTGAATCACCAATCAGCACCTGCCAAATACCCTAAGCCTCCCTTCCTAAGTCCCTAGGTCCCTAATCAGTATGTGCTGAGTGCCCTAAGCCCCGCCCTCTATCCTTAAAGGTGCTTGTAAGCCCCTCACTAGGTCTCTTCCGCTCCTCTCTGTGGAAGCAACCAGCAGGGGTACCCTTCCCTCCAATAAAGCCTGTGTGTCCTGCCATCCCGGTCTCTGGTCTACCTTCTCTATTTAATCTATCAATAGGGTTAAATAATTTATTATTAACTTTCTTGCTTTTTGGGGGTAGACCTGTAGTGCTATGAAGTTCTCTCTCAGGACTTTTTGCTGTGTCCCAGAGATTAGGAATTGTTGTGTATTTGTTGTTTTTTCCCAGGGAAATTTGTTATTTCTTTCTTGATCTAATTGGCAACTCATTTAATTGTTTAATAACATGGCATTTAGCCTCTATTTGTTTGAATGTTTTTAGTGTTTTTTATTTATTTGTTTTTTAATCCTTACACAAGGTTATTTTTTCCATTGATTTTTAGAGAGAGTAGAAGAGAGAGGGAGAGACAGAGAGAAACACCAATATGGGAGAGACACATCAATTGGTTGTCTCAAACATGCCTCTGACCAGGGCTGGGAGCCTACAACTGAGGTATATGCCCTTGATCAGAATCAAACTGGGAACCCTTCAGTCCACAGATCATTGCTCTATCCACTGAGCCAAACTAGCTAGGGCTTGAGTGTTTTTACTGTAATTGATTTCTTTTTTCTTCTCTCTCTCTCTCTCTCTCTCTCTCTCTCTCTCTCTCTCTCTCTCTCTCTCTTAAAACATATTTTTATTGATTTCTGAGAGGAAAAGAGGGGGAGAGAGAGATAGAAACATCAATGATCAGAGAGAATCATTAATTGGCTGCCTTCTGCATGCCCCATGCTGGAGATTGAGCCATAACCCAGGCATGTGCCCTTGACCTAAATCAAACCTGGGACCCTTCAGTACCCAGGCCAACTCTCCAACCACTGAGTCACATTGGCCAGGGCTGTGCCCACTTATCTTTACTGCCCATATCAAAGTATTTCACAATTTTTCCTGATATTATTATTACATTTTTCCTATTAACCTTTGAAATTAAAATGGGCTAGCGCATGTGTCCTTCCACTCTATATTAAATAAAATGTTGGTGAAAGTGCTTTGCTAATTGTAAAAATTAAGACATCATTATTAGTAAACTTCACCATCATATTCCTATAGTCTATAACAGATTATGTTAGTACTCCAGGTTAATGTCAATCACAACTGGTAGCTTAGACATATTTTAAGCCGTATTTTTTGTGTGTTGGATTTGAAATCACAAGTTTCCTATCAAAGAGAAATGTCATTTTAAAAAAATGATATGTATTTGAACAAAAACCAGATGTGTAATTTCTCTACTGAACTCTGCCTGAGACTTGAACTCTTTTGTCTTGGAACTTTAATTGACATGTTAACAGCTGTAAGCAAAACTCATTGCGGTTTTCTATTGCATTCTCTGTTGGTAATTGGTTTTCAACTTTATATACACAGAGGTATTTAATACTAACTTTCTCTCTTTTCTCCCTACAGGTTTTTTTGTCAGACAGAGCCAGGGGTAGATTGAAAATTAGTGTGATCTCATGTAAGTTTGCAGATCCTGTTGAGGCAAGTAGGAACTTGTCTGGACAAGGAAATATTTAAACCAGGTATCATTATAAACTCTGGAAAATAATGAGTTTTAACTCCCTTAAAGTGAAAAATGAGTTGAAAATTATGGATGAAATTGTACTTTGTTCAAATGTGATAAAAATGTTTCTATAAATTGTTGTTTCCTCCTGGAGTTGGTTTGGGGGTAAATCTTAAATATCTATCTCACCTGAGCTCAATTCTTAGAAGGCCATTTCTACCTTGGCCTTCTCTCTTCCCAAGTTAAAGAATGTTTGCATGAGTAATAAACAAATTTAATCGTTCCCTCAGATTGATTTCTTTTCTTAAGCCCATTTCCTCCTTATTTTATTTCCCTGAGAAAGATCAGAGCCTCTAAAAACAACTTACCTAGAGTTTGCCAATGGCTCAGTCTGTTTTCCTGGAGCTGCAAGGGCCCAAATGAGGGCCCCAGGAGGGTCAGCAGAAGTCTGTGGGCAATGTTGTGCAACTGCTTGAAACACCATGGAGCTTTGCAAGTCCCCTGCCTGCTCTGATGATACATTGTAGCTACTCAATGCTTGTGAAGGCCTAGTGACTAAGGGTTGACATGAGATTAAATCAACGGTGGGGAGACTAACTTAAAAAGTTATATGAACTGAAACTGGTTTGGCTCAGTGGATAGAGCATTATCCTGCAAACTGAAAGGTCCCAGGTTTGATTCCGGTCAAGGGCATATACCTTGGTTGAGGGCACATCCCCAGTAGGGGGTGTGCAGAGGCAGCTCATGGATGATTCTCTCTCATCAATGTTTCTAACTCTCCCTCTCTCTTCCTCTCTGTAAAAAAAAAAAAAATCAATAAAAAATATATTTTTTAAAGTTATATGAGTGATGTCTTATCTTAGGACCTTAGAAGGGTGGGAGGCCTGCTTGGATAGAAGGACAATGATAGAAGGGCAACAGCCTCCCTTCTACCTCAGTCATCCTGGTAGGAGCCCTAAGGCGCTCTCCTCAGCATCATACCATGCTGAGTTGCTTCAGGGCACAGACCCACCAACATGGTTAGCATTGACCTACAGTATGGAAGGTCTGGCCAACATTTTTTAGTCTGGCACTTCAAAAGACTACATTTCACCCACCATAGGAGTGAGGAAAAAAGGAAAAAAAGTATATGAAACTCTTTTATAAAGTTGGTTTTGGGAAATAAACTTTCCTTGTCAGTAATGTTTTGTCTGGCTTTTATCATAGGCAGCCCTAGAGGAGGGATATGAGTTGACCGCTAGTGTGCCAAATTATGGTAATAAGTAAAGTAATGAAGGATTTGACCTGGTTGTGCAAATAGCAAGTGTGCCCAATGAGTCTCCTTTCTTTCTCCCTTGGGTTGTGAAATGGGTGTGTTAAGCAAGGCGAATCAGGAGGGTAGACAGGGAAGGAAAGAGGGAAAGTGGTGGAGGGTCAAGGACAATGCCCTGCCCATAGGGAAGAGGGGGGCAGGGTGTCAGGTTGGGAAGGAGAGAGAAGTGAAGTCATCCACTGGCAGCCACATTCAAATCTTTTGTTAGTTAAGCAAGAGTAGGTGTTCCAGAGCACAGGAGATGAGGAAGGATGTGTAGCCCAGATAGTGCCAGGAGCTGCTGTGCCATGCCTCCTGGTGCCCTGACCTCTAGCAGTAGGTCCCAAAGTACCAATGCTTGGGCCAAGAGTGCCTCAACCAACTATCTGGGCTCCTACAGTTCATGGACCTCAGTTGCTCTGGCTCTTTTACTACTTGGCTATTAACTGTATAATACAGGTCCTTAATACAGGCATTCTTGAAGTAGATGCATATGCAGCAACCAGTGTTCTGCAACCATAGAGCCCTAGCAGGGTGGCAGAGGGCTCTGACTGACCTTCTCACTGCTACTTTGGTGACTTCTCAGTGTGACATTTATTTTTATTTATTTAAATAAGTTTTTATTGTTCATATTATTACAAATGTTCCTTCCCCCCCACCACCATTGCTCTCCTCCACCAGGTTCCCACCCCACCCTCTGCCCTTTCCCCACTCCCCATTTTTCTCATCCATAGGTGCCCAGTTTATGTTCAGTCTCTTCCCACATCCCCCTCTCCCCTTTTCCCCAAGAATCATCAGTTCACTCCCCTTCCATACCTCTGATTCTATTATATTCAACAGTTAATATTGTTCATCAGATTTTTTTTTAATTTCCTTGGTTTTTAGATTCACTTGTTGATAGTTATGTATTTGTTGTTCATAATTTTTATCTTTATTTACTTTCTCTTCTGAAAGAATGCCCTTCAGCAATTCATATAATTCTGGTTTGGTGTTGATGAACTCCTTTAGCTTTTTTTTATTAGTGAAGCTCTTTATCTGACCTTTGATTCTGAGTGATAGCTTTGCTGGATAGATTATCTTTGGCTGTAGGTTCTTACTATTCATTACCTTAAATATTTCTTGCCATTCCTGTCTGGCCTGCATGGTTTCTTTTCTTTTCTTTTCTTTTCTTTTTTTTTAATATATTTTATTGATTTTTTCACAGAGAGGAAGAGAGAGATAGTTAGAAACATCGATGAGAGAGAATCATAGATCAGCTGCCTCTTGCACACCCCCTACTGGGATGTGCCCGTAACCAAGGTACATGCCCTTGCCTGGAATTGAACCTGGGACCTTTCAGTCCACAGACCGACGCTCTATCCACTGAGCCAAACCGGTCCCGGCTGGCCTGCATGGTTTCTGTTGAGAAGTCAGCTGACAATCGTATAAGTGCTCATTTATAGGTAACTACCTTCTTTGCTCTTGCTGCTTTTAATATTCTCTCTTTGTCTTTTGCTCTTGGAATTTTAATAATGGTGTGTCTTGGTGTGGTCCTCTTTGGATTTTTGTTTAGAGTTCTGTGCGCTTCCTGGACTTGTAAGTCTAATTCTTTCACCAGGTGGGGGAAGTTTTCTGTCACTATTTCTTTCGATATCTTGTATGTTTTCGATATCTTGCTCTCTCTCATCTTCTGGGACCCCATAATTCTGATGTTGGTTCGCTTGAAGTTGTCCCAGAGGTTTCTTACATTATCTTCAATTTTCTGGATTCTCTTGCCTTCTTGCTTCTGCGGAGGAGTGTCTTCTGGCTCTTTATGTTCCAAATCTTTGACTTGATTCTTGCGATCTTTCATTCTATTTTTAGGACTCTATATAATATTTTTATTTCAGACAATGTATTCTTTATTTCTTATTGGTCCCTTATCACTTATTGATCCCTTATCATTTCTTGTTGATCCCTTATCATTTCTTGTTGTCTCCTTATTAATTCTAGTTGATCTCTTTTCATATCCTCGTAGGTCTTATCCATCTTTTCTAGAAAATTCTTAAAGAACCTTATAAGCGTAGATTTGAACTCTATATCCAGTCGCTTTTTGTCCTCCATTTCTTTCATTTGTGATCTATTTCGTTGTCGCATTTCACAGTTACAGATGGGATGGGATTTCAGGGTGGAGCCTACAGCCTTGGCTTCCATCAGCCCCGCCCTATGTGGCTCCTGAGTCTCAGGGTCCTTCAGTACTCGCTGCAAAGCGCCTCTGAGAGATAGGTGCCCTCGATTTTCGCCTGCTGCCAAACAGTCTATGCTCTCCCCCAATGAGCCCAGTATTGGGGTTCAGTTCAGTTGGAAGTGGAGTTGGAGGTGGCATTCAGAGCAGACTGGAGCCCCTGTCTCCTTCTGGCCAGGGCAATCCCGCAGCACAGCCAACCATCCCTTCTCTGCACACAATGTGCGCGCCGCTGGGACCTCCTTTCGCCGCTTCCCCAGGGTTCCACCTTACAGCCCAGCTCCCTAAGTGCTCATTTATAGGTAACTACCTTCTTTTCTCTTGCTGCTTTTAATATTCTCTCTTTGTCTTTTGCTCTTGGAATTTTAATTATGATGTGTCTTGGTGTGGTCCTCTTTGGATTTCTTTTGTTTGGAGTTCTGTGCGCCTGGGTCCCCGGGGTCTGGCCTAGAACTGGGGTTCAGAGCAGTCAGAACTGGGGCCCAACACAGTTGGAGTTTTATCTCCTTCCCGCTAGGGAACGCCTGCCAGGCACTCAGCCGCCCTCCTCTCCGGCTCCGTCCTCTCCGTACGCCGTGTGTCTCCATACCTCAGGCTTTTCCAGCTCCTCCTCGCTTCTTTCTGGTTTTCTCCTTGCTTCTTGTTGTAGAATTTCCAGTCAGTCTACTTTCCTGTAGTTCTGGGTAATGTCTATTTTATATTTTAGTTGTATTTTATTGAAATTGTTGTGTGCGGCTGCGGCTAGGTGTTTACCTGGGCGCAGCCATCTTGATACTCTTGTTTTTATTTTTTTAAATTATTATTGTTCAGATTGTTATAGTTGTTCCTCTCCCCCCCCCCCCACCACCACCATAGCTCCCCTACACACACACACACACACACACACACACACACACACACACACAGACTGTCGTCATCCATAGGTATATGTTTTTTGTCTAGTCTCTTCTCATGCCCCCTACACCCCCTTCCTCCCAAGAATTGTCAGTCCATCCCCTTTCTATGCCCCTGATACTGTTATATTCACCATATTCTGTTCATCAGATTTTTTATTCACTTGATTTTTTGATTGACTTGATAGATATTTGTTGTTCATAATTTTTATTTTTACCTTCTTTGTCCTCCTCTTCTTTTTAACTTAATCTTTATTGTTCAAATTATTACAATTGTTTCTCCTTTTTCTCCCCATAGCTCCCCTCCACCCAGTTCCCACCCCACCCTCTACCCTTACCTCCCCCCACTGTCCTCATCCATAGGTGTACGGTTTTTGTCCAGTCTCTTTCCGCAATTCCCACACTCCTTTCCCCTTGAGAATTATGACCCTGATTCTATTATATTCACCAGTTTATTCTGTTCATCAGATTTTTAATTCACTTGATTTTTTAATTCACTTGTTGATAGAAATGTATTTGTTGTTCAAAATTTTTATCTTTACCTTTTCTTCTTCCTCTTCTTAAATAATACCTTTCAGCATTTCATATAATACTGGTTTGGTTGTGATGAACTCCTTTAGCTTTTTGTCTGTGAAGCTCTTTATCTGACCTTCAATTCTGAATGATAGCTTTGCTGGGTAGAGTAATCTTGGTTGTAAGTTCTTACTATTCATCACTTTGATATTTCTCGCCACTCCCTTCTGGCCTGCATAGTTTCTGTTGAGAAATCATCTGACAGTCATATGGGTACTCCCTTGTAGGTAACTGTTTTTCTCTTGCTGCTTTCAAGATTCTGTCTTTTGCCCCTGCCCACCACAGCTCCCTCAAATCTCTGAGTTTCCATGAGCCTTTTTCTCTACCTGATAGTCCAGATTCCCCCATATAAACCTGGGTCCACAGGGTCTTGCCCAGAACTGGGGTTCAGTGCAGTCAGAACTGGGGTTCAGTGCAGTCGGGAGTTTCCTTCTCCCTCCCACCAGAGAAAACCAGCCAGGCACTCAGCTGCCTTTCCTCTCTACACACATGACTGCATACCCCTGCCCTTTGCAGCTCCTCTGATTCTCCATGAGCTTTTCTATTTCCTTCTATTATAGTTGTAGAATTTCCACTTAGCCAGCTTTCCTGTGGTTCTGGATGATGTCTGTTATGTCTTTTAGTTGTAATTTTGAAACTGTTGTGCAAGGGAGCAGTTTAGGTGCTTACCAATGCTGCCATCCTGGTTTCTCTATCCCAATTAGCTCACTTTTAAAACATAGAGGCCATCAAGAATGCAAGTGTTGCTAAGGGTTCAAAAGAAACAATGATAACAGGTAATTAAAGAGGTAGAAAAAAACCAGTTGATTTAAATAAATGGAAAGCAGTTAGCCAGTTTGGAGTCAGTGACATATGATCAAGTAAAGTTACTACATGCTGACCTGAAAGACACTCCTGGAATGAGTGCTGAAGGTGATTCATTTAAGGTTAGTAACAGGTAGTTGAGTAAATTTAAGAAAAGAAGTGTTCATTTAGACATGTACTGTATATAAGAAAGGTTAAAAAAGGGAATCATTTGGAGGTCTGCAAAGGATTATTCAATTTATATTACTTCTAATGAGAAAAAACAATTCAGTTTTTGAACAAATTGCTTGCCTCTTTTCCTTAATATTTTTTAATTGATTTTTTTACAGAGAGGAAGGGAGAGGAATAGTTAGAAACATCAATCAGCTGCCTCCTGCACACCCCCTACTGGGGATTTGCTCGCAACCAAGGTATATGCCCTTGACCAGAATCAAACCTGGGACCTTTCAATCCACAGGCCAATGCTCCATCTACTGAGCCAAACAGATAGGGCAACAAATTGCTTCTCAAACAGCCTTCTGGATGAATTAAGTTAGAGAACTAATACACACACACACACAGGGTGAGGCAAAGTTGGTTTAGTTGTTCGTATGGGAAATATACAATAATTTTTTAAAATATATTTTATTGATTTTTTACAGAGAAGAAGGGAGAGAGATAGAGAGCTAGAAACGTCAATGAGAGATAAACATTGACCAGCTGCCTCTTGCCCACTCCCTACCGGGGATGTGCCCGCAACCAAGGTACGTGCCCTTGACTGGAATCGAACCTGGGACCTTTCAGTCCGCAGACCGACACTCTACCACTGAGCCAAACCGGTTTTGGCGGAAATATACAATAATTAATAATAATAAAACAAAAATAGTTTTGTGTACTCCCAACTGTAGGCCTACTTTTGCCCACTCCATATATGTGTGTGTATACTATTACATATGTACATACACACATCCTATACAATAAAAGGCTAATATGCAAATTTTCCCTTGACCAGGAATTCAACTAGGGGGTGGCGTCTCGGCTAGGGTTCCATGGGCCAACCAAGCATGGGCCTCCCCAACCCCTCTGGCCCTGTCTCTGATCAGCTCTCCTTCCACTCCTCCATCCCCTGCTCCCCCCCCACATTGGGGCAGGTCCAGCTGGCCAACTTCTTGTGGCCCCTCCCCCAGCCAGTGGCTGATGTACCGTGATCAGGAGGGCCGGCCAGACCCCACCCGTGCACAAATTCATGCATAGGGCTTCTATCCTATATATACACACACATATGTGTGTGTGTGTGTGTGTGTGTGTATATATATATATATATATATATATATATATATATATATATATAGTTATATTAGACTTACAACTTTTTATTAGGTTTAAATTTATGCAAAATAAAGTTAGGGGGAAAATGTACCTTCTAGGTGCTAGAATTATTGTATTTTATCAATATCAGAATTTGTGGGAATTGGTGAGTCTCTCAGTTTTTATTCTTACAGCCAAGGACTTTGTGTGTGACACCTGCAATGCTGTTATCAGCTGTCTGTGACAAAGCTAATGAATCGCTGTGATGAATAATGACCTCAGGGGCAGTGTACATTTTCTGGGTGCTGGCTTATGCCAACCAAGGGAGCTATATGTGAACATGGCTCCAGCCTCATATAGTTTGCTTTCAAGTCTGAGTTTGGTATAATTGTCTCAGCTGAACCTTGTATCTGCTAACTGGACCAATATACTTTTAATATGAGCACACCCTTGATTCAGCTCTTTTCCTTATGGGAACCTAGGCAAAGGAAATCATAAATGTGCTGATTCTGCTAGCAAATAATTAGAAACAATATCAATGGTTAAAAATGAAGGACCAACTTCAGAATCTTATGCAGTCACTGAAAATAGTATTGCACAAATGTGCAGGCTAACATCAATAGTCACAATAATGGTGGGAAAAAAACTAGGTTATAAAATAGTGTGGTATGAACAAATAATAAACATTATAATTATATCTAGATTTAGAAAAGTGTACATTAAATACTAACTTTGGCTATTTCTGAGCAAATGAAATTTTGAGTGTATGGCGTTTTTTTCTTATCCATATTTTTAAACTATTCTGTAATAAACACGTATTGCTTAAGCAATTAAAAAGAAATTGATAAAAAGAGCATGATATTTAATAAATCCACTTATGGGACTTCCTCATATTAATTATAATTTAAATGTGGGGGTTGCATAATATCTAACATTTGAATCTTTTTATATATCTATTTAAAAGATGTATCCTGAATTTGTTCAGGTTCTGGTTTTGGGATATCTGGGTTACATCTGAGCCTGTCACTCAGCTGAGTGACTGTAGAACCAGGCTACTTAATCTCTAAATCTATATTTTCATCTGTATAACAGGGATGGTAGTAATATCAACATCACAGCTTTGTTAAGAGTTAAATAAAACAGACAACTCTTGGCACACAGTACCTAACTATTGTTAGGTACTAAGGCTCGGTGTTAACTACCGTGTTTCCCCGTAAATAAGACATCCTCCGAAAATAAGACCTAGTGCATGGAAAGATAAGACATCCCCTGAAAATAAGACCTAGCACAACTTTGGGAGAAAAAATTAATATAAGACACTGTCTTATTTTCGGGGAAACAGGGTATTACTGAATTAGGTGTGGGAAACTTTCAAGGGCCAGCACTATAGTAGGAGACTCTGCCTAAGCCTAAAATGCCTCCACCAGCAGTCTGATAACTACTCTGTGCATCTTGCCTACCCTTTTTTTTGGAGAAAGGAGCAGGTTAAAGCAAAAGTAGCACTCCTAGGCCACTTAACTTCCCTGAAGCCTGCTTATTTCTGCTGAGAAGGTAGAGATGCTGATGAACTCTGTTAATAAAGCACAGTGATCACCAGGCCAAAGGTAGTGTGATCAAGGTCTGAAGTCCTTTAATAAGGAAGCATCCCTCCTAGCCACTCTTAGGGGAAAGATTTTTAGTCCACACAAAACCCAGCATATTTATTTAAAAAGTTTCAAAATTATTTTTTAAAAATATGTTTTTATTTATTTTAGGGAGGGAGAGGGATAGAAACATTGATAAGTTGCCTTCTGAATGCCCCCTACTGGAGATCCAGTGGGCAATCTGGGTGACACTCAACCACTGAGCTACAACAGCCAGGCTCAAAATTATCTCTTACACTCAAAACCTATGAGCCAGGGTACAAACGAGTGAGGTTGTCATTCATTAACTTATTAAATAAAATTTCAAATTAAAATATATGGAGTAATGTTTTTCACACTTTTCAGAAGAATCACATGAGTGCTGGAGATTCATTCTGCTAATTAATACAGGGGACCCAGTATGGGCCAGTAATTTGGAAGTATTTTTTTACAAATACCTCCAGATGATTACCATGATCAAAGAAATGTGGGAAACATTCATTTGAAACATACTTTTCAACTCCCTTTGCAGATTTTAATTATTGAACTACTGATCCTAGAATGACTCACTGAAAAGTCTTTTCCAGCCGTTTTAGGAACGTCCTCTGAACATTCCATGCCTCATGGGAGACATCCCAAATACTTTCTTCTGTTTGTTTCTTAGAAGACAGACAGGCATTCCTTTCTCCTTTCCATTTCTGATCAGCTGTTCTACGGTAGATCATGTTTTTCTTGGAGTTTGTATCTTCCCTGAGTTGAGGCACAGCAACCCAATCAAATCATCTTTATATTTTGATTTCTTTTTATACGACTGTCACTTTTAATAACCATTGCTTGCTTCTGTCCAACTCCCTTCTCTTCTGAAACTTAAGAAATTGAGATGCTTTGTACAGACTCAATATTCTGGCTTTTCCACTTTAAATCTCATACTGACGACCCCGTGTATGCCGGCTTGGATCTCATCGTTTACTTTAACAGGGCCAACTCCCTTTGGCGTCCCGGTCAAGATAATATCTCCTTCTTCCAAGGCCATTATCTTAGAAACGTAGCTGATGATGTAGGGAATGGTAAAGATCATGGAAGATGTCTCACCCTCCTGCCGTAGTTCTCCATTGACCTTGAGCCAGAGCTTCAGGTTGTGAGGGTCAGGGACCTTCTCTTTGGGCACGAACGCGCTGACGGGGCAAGAGGTGGTGAAGCTCTTGGCCAGGGTCCAGGGTAGCCCCTTCTTCTTGCATTCATCCTGCACGTCCCTGGCGGTCATGTCCAGGCACAGGGCATAGCCGGCCACGTAGTCCATGGCCTCGGCCTCCGGGACGGCGCGGCCTGGTTTGCCCATCACCACGCCCAGCTCGAGCTCGTGGTGCAGGTTGCGGCTGTAGGCGGGCATGAGGATGGGCGAGCCCTCGGGGGCATAGGCGGTGGACGGCTTCAGGAAGAGTACAGGCTGGCTAGGCACCGCGCTACCCATCTCCTTGGCGTGGTCCGCGTAGTTCCTGCCCACGCACACGATATTCTTACCCCACTCCCAGAAGCGGGACAGCGGCCTGGAAACCGCCATGGCTCCAGCTAGGCGCCCCGAGTCACGTGGATTCGGCCAGACCGTTCCCAGACGCCTACGGCTACCCCGAGAGGACGAACTGTCTCCGAGCGCAATCCCGTCCGCGACCGTCCGTTCCGCTTTGTGCTCCACCGGGTGCGCCGCAGTAGCGGAGCTCGGCCTCGGGTGAACCACTGACCAGTGGCGACCTCTGGGACGCCGGCCCGCTCCCTGGAAAAAAACAGAGGCGCTTCGGTCGCTCTTAAGCTGCAGCCGCTTCCTTGATTCTCGCCCGCGGGGCGTGGGCATGGGTTTGGACGCGAGCGCTGATTGGCCGTGAGGCGGGCAGGACTTGGAATCGAGCTCTGATTGGATGATAAATGAGGTGGGGCGCGAGGCAGGCACTGATTGGCCACGATTCGCGGACGCCGGCGTGTGCTGTCCGCCTACGCCTCGCACCGCCGCCCGCTCTCCGCCCCGTCATGGTGCTGAGCCGGCTGCTCGGCCGCTGGAGTCTCACCGCGCTGGGAGCCGCTTGCGCCTGCCGCGGCCTGGGTAGGTCGGCCGGGGCCGGCTAGGCCGGGGCAGGGTTGACAGCGACAAGGCCGGGGGCGGGACAAGTCAGGTCCGCGGGCCCTGGCGGGTGTCATAGCCGGGAGTGGCAGTTGGGCCACCTGAGCTCCCCAGGCGTCCCGGCGGCGCCGGCGGCCCGCAGCCGGGCGTAGGGTTGGGCGTTGGGCGTTGGGCGTGGACGCAGGGCGCGGGCCCGCGCCGGTGCGGGGCGGGGAGCCACCGGCCGCTCGGCTGATGCCTGACGCTGTTTTTTTAATCGACTTAGGACTTTAACCCTCGCTGACGGCGGCAGGCAGGCCAGTGGGGTTCGAAAGGCTGCACAGCAGTCGGGTCAGGCTTTGAGGGCTGAAGACAGCGGGTAGCTGTCACTGAGGTTGCTGAAGGATTGTGCTAGGTAAGGAGCGTGATCCCGGCGCACCGCCCCACCTCCCCGCCAGCCGGCAGCCCTCACGTTCCTTGACGCTGGGCGGTGCGGTGCGGGGGTTTCCCCACATTTCCATACCCTCACCCCACAAATCCCGTATTTCTAACGCCCTAAGCAGTGATGTGACTGCCTTGAGCCCCAGAAAATGCTATTATGTTCACCACAAAGGAAACCACATCTTTTCATCTGAGTTTTGGTTGTCAAGTAGAACCCGAGGCACGGAATCTAAAGCGATGACAATGGGGAGAACCCTGGGACAGTGCTGGGGTCCTGTGGGCTGCGGGACCCTGTTCCTCCCTTGTGTTTCCCTCAGTGCCTCTGAAATGAGAGGCATTGGGCACACTGGCCTCCAAGGGTCTGCTCTTCAGCTGTCAGATCAGATTCTTACCTCTTGCTTTTTGGAATTTTTTTATATCTTACTGATTTTTTTACAGAGAGTAAAGGAGAGGAGTAGAGAGCTAGAAACATCGATGAGAGAAAAACATCGATCAGCTGCCTCCTGCACACCCCCTACCGGTGTACATTCCCCTGACTGGAATCGAACCCGGGACCCTTCAGTCCTTAAATTGACGCTCTATCCACGGAGCCAAACCGGTTTCAGCATGTTGGGATATTTTGGCCTTTATTTTGAAATCTCCTTTTCCTTATTTCCTGATATTTTACCTGGCTGATTAGCAATAGGGGCGGTCTCTGGGACCTGGTTAGCAGTTACCTAAATGACAGGAGGGCATTACATAAGCAGGATAGAACAAACAGCGAAGCCATTCTTGGCCATTTTCAAATTCTACTGAAAGCAGTTAAGGTTCTGAAGTGGGTAATGAGTTGCCATTACTGAGGAAAGAGCCTGCTTTGTTTTTCATTTAGGAAAGCTCATCACCATGTCAGGGCTGAGTGTCTGTGTCAGGGTAGACTGTAGGGAATCGCCAGGAGTTGATGCCATGCAGAAGGACTGGTTCCATTCAAAAGAAGTCAAACAAAACATGTCTCAGGACTTGGCCCAGACCACAGGCTGCAGGTCCATACACTCTGCTTACACAAAGATCACAGTTGCAAACCAGTGAGCTGGGAGCATTTCTCAGGCTGTGGGGGCTGGTGTTATATAATCTTTGGGAAAGGAATAAGGTTTCTGGTGGTGATTGGACCAGATGAATTCTTTGGTATCTTCCCCAGGTTCCCAAGCACCACCTGTAAATAACGGTTCTTCTTGACCAGGGCAGAGTGGATATGTTCTGATATGTTCTATGGGAAATAAAAAATGAGGCCCCTTTAAGGAGGATGTTTCTGTCCTGCTCGCCTCCCACCCGCACCCGCACTACCCACACTGCTTTGTGTAGTGTAGACGTCAGGCTCAGGTAGCACTGGGTCTCAGATACCTGGTGGAACATCACAAACTTGATCATACAAAAATGTCTGTTCTGCTCTGCACGAGGAGAAGGGTATGGCAAATACCCGGCTAGTTGTCCAAGGGAGGAGGGAATTGAATATCTGTGTGTGATCATTAAAGCGACCGTTCAGGCAGTTTCCCTGACCATGGCAGAAAAGGTTGAACCTGCTTTCGATGCCCCTGGAGACATGGCCTATCTGTTAGTCAGTCGGGGCTCCCTGCTTTCTGGATCCCTTTGGGGAGAGGCCCCATCCCAGCACACACCCCAGAATTTCATGGCTGCCTCTGTCACCTTCTATTATACAGGTTTAGTCCCTTTTATGCTAAGGCTCAAGGGCCTCCATGAATTTTTAGATTGAATAATAGGAGTTTTGTTGTTGATAATATTCAGATCATAAATCTGAAAGAGCTGATTTCTATGAATATGAGTTGTCTTCTAGAATTTCTTACTGATGTGATTAAATGAGGATATTCTCTTTTTCAAAGAAACTTAGACAACCCTGCAGGGCGAGCCTCATGCTTGGATGTTCACTGCATGTCGCTCTGGGATGTCACATCCCCAGGACGCCCCTGTTGCTGTGTCGCTGAGGGCTGTGCCTGATGTGGCCTCACATGACCACTGACCAAAACTGCGTTCTTGTTCAGGTCTAGCCCAGCTGGGACTTCTCCATCACACAGATTTGAGGAAGAGCTTGACCGTGGAACAGGACGCCATGAAGGTTGAGTTATTGCCTGCCCTGACAGACAACTACATGTACCTGATCATCGATGAGGACACCAAGGAGGCCGCCATTGTAGACCCAGTGCAACCCCAGAAGGTGGGAGGTGTGTCCCCGGCACCAGCTCTTCATCCTCTGATGTGTGTGATAACCTCCGTGTTCTTGCAGCTTGGCTGAAGCTAACTAGAAATGAATCTATTTCTTTTTTTAACAAACAATTTAAATAGTGCCCAGCCACTATTATTGGGGCAAAGGGCCAATAAAGGGGTGGGGTGACCAGAAGCTTTGGTGTGGAAAGATAAGGCCTTGTGTCTGTTATGTCCTTGGACAGAGAAGCAGGAGCTGTACTTGGTATTGTCTACTCTTCCTGGAGGCTTTGTACCCTGACCAGAGGGACTTGGAGAGTTCATGGGGGTAGGGGAATGGGGGGTGAATTGCCAAGTGTATCCAGAGAGAGAAAGGCCACTTTTACCCTGTTCTACCAAAGTTAGGCCGAGTTGGCAGGGTCCGGACAGAGCCAGCCATTCCTGGCACACCCTGAGTTCCGGTTGGGCACCCCACCTTGGGGCTGGTGAGCCAGCACTTGTTGTGTGACGGTGGCTCGATCCTGCTACGTGTTTGGTTTCAGGTGGTAGAAATGGCAAAAAAGCACGGCGTGAAGCTGACTACGGTGCTCACCACCCACCACCACTGGTAAGTGCTACACTCCAGAGGCTGAACTTCTTCCAGGCCAGCAGAGCTGATTAGGCCTGGTGGCTCCCTGCCAGGCACACCCTGAGGGTGGGGTTGGGTGGGGTTCTCACAGGCTCCCTGGGCCCTCCCACAGCTGGCAGTCTGAGTCACCTGTGCCCCCACAGCTGTGACACTGTGCAGCTGAGGGTCTGCCTCTGAGAAGGCTTCGGTGTCAGCCTCCGTGCCGCTGCCCGATCCCCTTGGTCTTCCAGGCCCAGCCCCTTGGCCCTGTGATGGGGCCTGGTAATCGGGGGTTCTGTGGGGAGATGCTTGTGCTGCGGATCCTTCTGCCATGAGACGACCTCCAGCAATGCCTCTGAAAGCACTGGGATTGTGTGATGAGATGTTGGCCTCAATGTTAGGGAAAAAACTGGACTAGACTTTAGTGTTTTTAAAACCAACAGCCATATTTGGAGAGGTTGTGTGTGGCTTTTTCTTTTTATATTTAAAGGCTAAACCATGAAAAAGCACCTGTGTTTTGGTTTAGGATTAGAATTGTATGTCCACAGTCCTTTGAGATTTTTGAAACTTTTGAGGTTCTTCAAAGCTAATAATAATAATAATTATCATTATTATTATTATTTGGTTCTGATCTCCTGTCCCAGATAACTGCTAGAGTGCAGCTGACACCTTTGAGTGAATCTGTCCCTGTAGCGTTGCTATTGTTTAGCCTGTAGGAGCTCCGCTTCACCAGCCTTTTCCTCCAGAAAGAAGATGGAGCCTTTCTCTGGGAGTGGTGTATGCGTGTGGCTTGGCAGCTTGTTAAATGGTAGAAATGTCTGGCTGATAAAACTAAGTTGCTGAGTCTCTGGGACATCAGGTGCTAATTACGGACTGGGTTTACAGCCCTTGCCCTTGGCCTGAGCTACTTAATGCAGCCAATTTCTTTCTTTCTTTTTTTCTTTTTAATATATTTTATTGATTTTTACACAGAGAGGAATTGAGAGGGATAGAGAGTTAGAAACGTCGATGAGAGAGATACATCGACCAGCTGCCTCTTGCACACCCCCTACTGGGGATGTGCCCGCAACCAAGGTACGTGCCCTTGACAGGAATCGAATCCGCAGGCCGATGCTCTATCCATTGAGCCAAACCGGTTTCGGCAATACAGCCAATTTCTTTGGGAAATCTGCCTCTTGGGCCTCCATGTGGCTGCAGGAAGCACCCCTGTTCCTCAGCTTCTCACAGTTTGCTTCTCTCTCCCACGCTAAGATATCCCCACATCAGTTGTCATTTTCTGGAGGATTTTCTCAGCACCTTATGTTTATGCTAGAACATCAACCCTAATCCAGGTCCTAAATTGAGCTCTAGGGTGTGGCCTGTGCCTCCCGCCCACTTATCAGTGGTGGTGAGCGGGCTAAGGGGTTGGCCCTGACCAGCGTGTAACTGTCCTTTGAGGAAAGGAGGCCAAATGGCCAGCCTCCTTTTATCTCTGGCCCTGCTGTTTCTGGGCCCATCAGAAGAGGCCATAGGAGACTGTGTAGTGACCAGAAAGCCCTGGCCTTGTCCTGGAACGGCTGCTCTTCAAGTGTGGGCACATGCCCTGCCCTGCACTGCGATCAGGTCCCGGCTGAGCTAAAACTGGTGTAACTGACCTCCTTTGTGAAGTGCTGAGGCAGGGGCACCGAAATGCCTGGCATGGGTGCCGAGGATGTTCTTATCAGTGGAGCCAAATGACAGACGAGAAGCCAGTTTCCTGTGTTGGAAGATGCATTTCTACTTCTGATAAGCGTAACTAGGAAAATAAAATTTCTGTTTGGGCAGGGTTTACAAGCAAGCAAAGCTCCTTCATATCAGCAGTAGCCCTAGGTCTTTTCTACTTCCAGGGACCATGCTGGCGGGAATGAGAAGCTTGTCAAGCTGCAGCCTGGATTGAAGGTGTACGGGGGTGATGAGCGGATTGGGGCCCTGACTCACAAGATCACACACCTGTCTACACTGCAGGTGAGGAATGGAACGCAAAGGAAATGGATGTCAGGCCCTAGAGCATAGTGTGGGGTAGGGACACGGTGGGAACACCGCCTCCTCCACCTGGCTGTCCTCTTTGTTTCCCCGGGGTCCTAGAGGGGCACATAAGGGCTTGGCTGTGGCAACAGCCTTACTGGTGGATGGTTGGGGGCTCTTGGCTGCCCGAGCCTGGGCAGTCCCCTCTGCATCACAGCCAAATCAATGTGCAGATGATGACTAGATAAGAGAAGAAGCTGCAGGGTACAGATTAGAACTAATGGGAAATTTAAATATGGATGCTACATGGGATCATGTTCTCATGCTGTTGCTAAATGTCTTGGATGTGATGATAGTGAGGTTATGCAGGAGGATGCTTTTTCTTAGTAGATGCAGCTGGAGTGTTTAGGGGTGATTTGTCAGGATGTGTGTGACTTGAAATGTGTGTGTGTGGGGAGCAAGTGCCCCAGATGTCTGCATTTGGTGATGCAGGTCAAGGCCATACAGATGTTCATCTTTATTTCAGGTGTTGTTGTTTTTTTGGGGGGTGTATTTTTTTAATCTTTATTGTTCAGATTATTACAGATGTCCCTGCTTTTTCCCCCCTTAGCTCCCCTCCACCCGATTCCCACCCCACCCTAGGCCCTAGCCACCCCACTGTCCACATCCATAGGTACTGCATACATGTATGTAAGATTTTTATCCAGTCTCTTCCCATACACTCCCACATATCTCCTTCCCCCTGATATTTGTTAGTCTGCTCCATTTCCATGCCCCTGATTATATTACATTCACCAGTTGATGCTGTTCCTCAGATTTTTTATTCACTTGTTATAGATATGTATTTGTTGTCACTTAGTTGTTTATAATTTTTTTTCTCCTCCTCCTCCTCCTCCTCCTCCTCCTCCTCCTCCTCCTCCTCCTCCTCCTCCTCCTCCTCCTCCTCCTCCTTCTTCTTCTTCTTCTTCTTCTTCTTCTTCTTCTTCTTCTTCTTCTTCTTCTTCAAGAATACCCTTCAGCATTTCATATAATACTGGTTTGGTTATGATGAACTCCTTTAGCTTTTTCTTGTCTGTGAAGCTCTTTATCTGACCTTCAATTCTGAATGATAGCTTTGCTGGGTAGAGTAATCTTGGTTGTTGGTTCTTGCTATTCATCACTTTGAATATTTCTTGCTACTCCCTTCTGGCCTGCATAGTTTCTGTTGAGAAATCAGCTGACAGTCGTATGAGTACTCTCTTATAGGTAACTTTTTTCCTCTTGCTGCTTTTAGTATTCTCTCTTTGTCTTTTGCCCTTGACATTTTAATTATGATGTGTCTTGGTTGGTCCTCTTTGGATTCCTCTTGTTTAAGGTTCTCTGTGCTTCCTGGATGTGTAAGTGTATTTCTTTCACCAGGAGGGCAGAGTTTTCTGTCATTATTTCTTCAAATAGGTTTTCAGTGTCTTGCTCTCTCTTTTCTTCATAACTCAGATGTTGGTATACTTGAAGTTGTCCTAGAGGCTCCTTACACTATCTTCATATTTTTGGATTATTTTTGCTTTTTGATTTTCCAGTTGGGTGTTTTTTACTTCTTTGTATTTTAAATCTCGGACTTAATTCTTGGGATCTTCTAGTCTACTGTTGAATTTCTTTATATTATTCTTTATTTCAGTCAATGTATGCTTAATTTCTGACTAGTCATTTTTCATTTTCTTGGCATTCTAAGATCCTTGAAGTTCTCACTAAGTTCTTCAGAGGTTTCTAGAAGATTCTTGAGTAACCTTTTAACTGTGGTTTTGAACTCTATATCCAGTAGTTTGCTTTCTTGCATTTCTTTCATTTGTGACATGTTTCTTTGTCTCCACATTTTGGCTGCTTCCCTGTGTTTGTTTCTATTACTGGGTAGCTGCTAAGTCTCCTTGAGTTGATAGAGTGGCCTTGTGTGCCAGGTGTCCTTAGGGCCCAGTGGCTCAGCCTCCCCAATCACATGAAGTGGACACTTTTGGTTCATCTCTTTGTGGGCTGTGTGCAGTCTTGTTGTAGTTGAGCCTTGATTGCTCTTGGTATCACTGGGAGGAATTGACCTCCAGGCCAGTTGGCTGTGAGGACCAGTTGTGTTTACCATGGAAGAGCTGCTGTGCAGAAACACCCTTATGGGGATGGACTTCTTCAGTGGGGCTTTGGTGCTCTCTGAATCTGCCCCTTGAGTGTGTCACTTATGGATGTGAAGAGCTGTAATCTGATATGGTCTTGCACTGACCACTGGTTCTTGGATCTCCAAGGAGGTGCAAAGTCAGCCACTGCCTGAGGCCACCCAGCAGGAGCTACAGAGAGATCTACAGATTCCTCCTCTTTGTATCAGGCTGGGAATGATGTGCCCAGCTGAGGCCCAGCTGTGAAGCAAGGCAAGCTGGTGCTGCTGGCCTTGGACCTTCTTTTGATAGGTTTGGGGTTCCCTGACCCAGCTGCAGCTTGTTTGACAGGTTTTAGACTGAGAAAGGACAGGTCATTCATATGCAAAAGCTGCTGTGCACATGAATCAAGGCTCAACTACAACAAGACTGCACACAGCCCACAAAGAGCTTGGGTGGGGTCGTAAGTTGGGTAGGGCGGGATCTCAGGGAATCACCAGGGCAGAGCAAACAGCAATGGTTGCCAGTCAGTCCTTCACTGGGAAAATCCCAGCACAGGAACAAAAGCACCTCCATCTGGAAGAAAGGTGTCCCCATGTCCTGCCCCGATGCCAGACAATCCAGTTTCTCCTCATATATGTTTGGTTTCCCTCCTCCCCGAGTCTTGCCTGGCACTGGAGCTCAGAGCAAGCGGGAGCTTGTATCTCCTTCCCAATTAAAAAAGCAGCACACCCAGGTGCCAACCCGTTCTGCTCCTCCACACCTCCTACCAGTCTCAATGTGCTTTCTTCTTAACCTCTAGTTGTAGAACTTCCACTCAGCCAGCTTTCCCATGGTTCTGGATGGTAGTTGTTCTGTATTTTAGTTGTAATTTTTATGTGGTTGTGGGATGAAGCAAGTCCAGGTGTTTACCTATGCTGCATGTATTTTTTGGTTCTCTGGGTGCATGTATTTTTTGATGTGAAGGGGTGGGAGGAGGAGGGAGACAGAGAAGAAAAACAATAAAAGGCCAAACACTTAAGAAGCAAAACCATCTAGACGCCTAGTTCATTGGCTGATTTTGAGGGAGAAAACAAAAGAAGCCCCTTGGGCTTTGCACGTCAGCAAATACCAGGTTCTAGGGTGGTCCCTACCCCTGGGGACACCCCTGAGGACTGGGTCTCATGGTCACCAGCAAGATCCACGTCTTGCTGTGTGGGAGGTGTGGGGCCTGAGCGAGACCTATAGACCAGCGGGCCATGTGCTTGTGAGCCTTGGGAGCACTCGCCAGCCTGTGCTTTGTTTCAGGTGGGGTCTCTCAACGTCAAGTGCCTGTCAACACCGTGTCACACTTCTGGACACATCTGCTACTATGTGAGCAAGCCTGGCAGTTCCGAGCCCTCTGCTGTGTTTACAGGTGAGGGTTCAGGTTTGTGTACTGGGGGGTTGGGTGTGCTTGGCAAAGACCCTCTTGGCACAGGTGTGGAGAAGCAGAGCATTTCCTGCCTGAAACTACACAGGGCTGAGAGGAGACCACCGCCCTCAGGGCAGAGCCCGGGGCTCAGCTTCACACACATTGGGGCAGGCAGGCTGGGTGGACTCAGGGAGGAGTGGTGCCTCCTGGTGGGGCTGGTCTTGTGCTTCCCCCTGACCACTGTCTGGTGCCTTTCCTTGAGACTGCCTGGTAGAGATGCAGCCTGAGCTGCACTACCTCCAGCAGCTGCCAGGTGGCAGGGCGGAGCCTCAAGCCCGCCTCACGTGGGCCTAACTAATGCCCTTCTGAGTGCTCACCCTGCCCATCCCTCCGGGGCTGTGAGCCGAGCAGGTTTGGCAAAGTCAGTAGCTGGTCTTGTCAGGGTCTCCTACCCAAAGCAACCCTGAGAGCGCCTGCCTGGCAGCCCGCCACGCTCAGAGGTGTGGGAAGTTCCGGTAGCGGCTGCAGTCTGCGGAGGCCAGGCCCTGAGTGAGGTTGGAAGCACGCCCAGCATGGGCTGAGGAATTGAAAGGATGTTGGTGCTCCGCGAAGCAGAGCGGCCATGTGACAACCAGGCATTCAGGGCGGCACGAACCGGTGGCCACAGACAGCAGTGATGGCTGAGAGTGCCCGGTGAAAAGCAGGCCTGCTGGCCCCATGGAGCCCGACTGCACCCTCATATTTTAGTGAATGTAATAGTTTTCAAGCTCTGTGTCTTCCAGAAATGTAAGTTGTAATCATAATATTGTATTTGCAGTGAAAGTTTAAAAAAAATATACAATGCTGAGTGCAGTATGAGCTCCTGGATTGGATCCTGCCTTGGAAAAAGGGCGTTGATGGGAAATGTGCATTGAGTGGGAGTTTTTAGTTAATAACAATGTAGGGCCGAAACCGGTTTGGCTCAGTGGATAGAGTGTTGGCCTGGGGACTGGAAGGTCCTGGGTTCGATTCTGGTCAAGGGCATGTACGTTGGTTGCGGGCACATCCCCAGTAGGGGGTGTGCAAGAGGCAGCTGATCGATGACTCTCTCTCATCGATGTTTCTAACTATCTATTTCTCCAACTCTCTCCTCCTCTCTGTAAGAAATCAATAAAATATATTAAAAAAAAAAAAAAAGACAATATAGGGTCGCAGGCTTGTAGTTTGGACAAATACATCAGGGAAATGCCAGATGGGTGGGGGTGCATAAAGGCCTCTGTAGTTTGTCTACAAATCTAATATTATCCACAGATCTCAGGTTTTTAAAAATATAGGCAGCTCTTTTCAGTGTCTTCACTGCAGTGATGGAGGTGGGACTGTGAGTCAGGTTATAGTCCCTGGGCACATTGTGGAGCCCCAGCCTTATGGTGGGCTGACTGTGGTGTGGAATAGGCAGATTGACCCACATGCACGTGTGCACTGCCCTGAAGTGGTCTCACCTGTGCGTGTGGTGAGAGCGAAGTGTCCTCACTGAGCGGTGTAGGCCTGAGTGGAGAGGAGTGTGCCCGGTGCCTGGCCTGGCAAACCCTCAGGACATCACACTCCTGTTTCTACTGGACATCAGCCTGCCCATCTGTCAGGTGGTAAGGCAGTGTCTGCCTCCCAGGGTTGTCAGGACCTGGGGTATGGGTGGGCCCCTGGGGACTGTGCTGTTAGAGCTGAGTCTCGCTTTGGAAGGTGCAAACACAGACCTGAACTGTGTCCTGCACAAGTTGTCACCGTTCTCTGTGTGGCAGCAGCTGGCAGGGAGTACATTGTCTTATTGGTGACTTTAGTAATAAAAATGTGAAAAATTCTACAGTGTCCTCAGTGGGGGGCTAATGGCGTGGGAAATAAGACAGTCCAGCAGGGCCGTAGCTGGCCTGTGTGTGCAGCCAAGGAATCTACAGCACGCAAGGCTGGGCTTATTGGTGGCCCCAGGCCTCAAGCCCAGGTCTGGGACCCAGGGCCACGCTCCCGCCCCTAAGATGCAAGCAGAGGAGGGGGCAGCCCAAAGGAGAGAGCGGCTTTGGCCCTGGGGCGTGGCGGGCAGGACTGAGGGTCAGGAAGAGGCTTGGCAGGTGCTGATGGAAGGGGACGTTGCTTGAGGTTGTGGGGTCCCAGGCTGTCCTCACCACAGGGGCCTGGAGAACAAGTGCCTGTCGTTTCTGCTTGGCATGGAACCGAGCCAAGAGTCGGGAGGGAAGCAGCAGTGCATCGAGGCCTGGAAGTGTCTTCTGAAGGGACACTGTCTAAAGAACAGAGCCAGGCCCTAGCTGTTTGGCTCAGTGGATAGAGTGTCGGCCTGTGGACTCAAGGGACCTAGGTTCAATTCTGGTCAAGGGCACATGCCTGGGTTGAGGGCTCGGTCCCCAGTAGGGAGCGTGCAGGAGGCAGCAAATCAGTGATTCCCTCTCATCATTTATGTTTCTATCTCTTTCTTCTTCTCCCTTCCTCTCTGAAATCAATAAAAGCATATTTTAAAAAAGTAAAGAATGGAGTCAGGCCCTAGCTGTTTTTGTTCAATGGATAAAGCATCGGCCTGTGGACTGAAGGGTCTGGGTTCAATTTCAGTCAAGAGCAAATGCCTGGGTTGTGGACTCCATCTCCAGTAGGGGGCATGCAGGAGGCAGCCAATCAATGATTCTCATCATTGATGTTTTTCTGTCTCTCCCTTTCCCTTCTTCTCTGAAATCAATAAAAATATATTTTTTAAAAGAATGAAGTCAGGAAAGAGTGATCTGTAGGTTGGAGGTTCAAATCTTGAGGGCTCTCGTGGGCTGTGGTCCTTTGTGAGGGGTTCCCGATGAGATCACGGAGGGTGTTATAGGATGGCCCTGGCTGCCTGGGAGAAAAGAAGGGGCCGCTGGGCAGGTGGGAACAAGTGCTGGGTAGGGGGTCTCAGCACTACAGCTAATTGGATTGGGCAGTGAAGCGAGGAGTCAGCATGACCCTAAGGTTTGGGTATGAGCAGCTGTTTGGGAGCTGGTGGAACTAGTGAGTGAGACTTGAGTGAAAAGTTCGGCGTGAGTGGGAACGGAGAGCGGTGGGTTATCTTGGGCTCTGACGGGGATCTGGGTGGAGGACACATCGGATGCTGGGCCCCAGTCAGCTCAGGGGACAAAGTGCCCGTGGACAGCAGGGGGTCAGCATTGCCCAGTAGTGAGCCTCAGCTTCCCAAGGGGTGTCCTGCTGGCGGCCTCACGCTCCATGGCTGTCCTCTTTCAGGTGACACCTTGTTTGTGGCTGGCTGCGGGAAGTTCTTTGAAGGGACAGCGGATGAGATGTACAGAGCCCTGATCGAGGTCCTGGGCCGGCTCCCTCCGGACACAGTAGGCAGAGCCCCTGCCAAGTTCCCTGGCTGGCGGTGTGAGGACATGCCTGCTCTCCCGCGCTGTCCTCTGACCGCCTGTCCTGCACCCCCTCTCGCCCTGTGGCTACCCCTGTGTGTGAGGAAGAGTGGGAGGCCGGGCACTTTCTCTAGGACTGTGGGTTTTCTTTAAACATAATTTTTATTCTTTCACATACTCGCAAGAAGTGTGTTGTCCCAAGGCCTTTTCCCTGGTGTCACTGGCCCAGCACAGGGCCTGGAGGCCAATACTGAGGAGTGTGAGGGGATTAATGATCTTCAGAGCTCCTGGGTTTGGCTTTTTCCTCAGAGAGTGTACTGTGGCCACGAGTACACCATCAACAACCTCAAGTTCGCTCGCCACGTGGAGCCCAGCAACACCGCCGTCCAGGAGAAACTGGCCTGGGCCAAGGTGAGTGGATATGTGTGGGCACGTCCTGTGTGTCCGTCATGCGAAGTGACTTCCTGGGTCTGTGTGGGGCCAGGGTGCTGGCACTCAAGACATAATGTCCTGAGTGGGCAGCCAGTGCTCCTCAGGGCCACAAACAGCAGGAACCAGGGGGCTTGTCCGATCCTGTCTGGCCCGGTGAGTCTGGGCTGGGCCTGGGAGTCTGTTTCTTAGGCCCAAGTGCCAGATCCCGCCCCCTTCCCATGTCCTGGGCAGCAGGTAGGACCGTGTGCAGCTGTTCGCTCTGCAGGCTGTTTGACTGAAAGGTGTTTATTTCAACTATGGCCCCAGACTTGCTCCTTGGCTCAGCCCAGGGGCTGGCTTATTGTCCTGGATTCTGGGGCTTCGGAAGCAGCTGGGGTGCTCCGGGTGGGCAGAGGGTCCGTGCAGTCACCGAGGAAATGTCACCCGGGGAGGGAGCCTCAGATACAGGGAGCTCCCTTTGCTGAGTTCGGTGAGTAAAGCACCTCACCTAGTTTTTTTCTTCTTTTTCTTAAATAAATCACCTGGTTTTGTTGAGCATCTTTATCAATTTGGCGGGGTGGGGGGTGGGAAGGCTTATAATTCCTATAAAAATTTAAATACAGCCGGGACCGGTTTGGCTCAATGGATAGAGCGTCAGCTTGGGGACTGAAAGGTCCCGGGTTCGATTCCGGTCAAGGGCATGTACCTTGGTTGCAGGCATATCCCGGGTAGGGGGTGTGCAAGAGGCAGCTGATCGATGACTCTCTCTCATCGATGTTTCTCTCTATCTCTCTCCCTTCCTCTCTGTACAAAATCAATAAAATATATTTTTAAAAAATAAAAAATAAAAATAAAAATTTAAATACACCCTAGCCAGTTTGGCTCAGCGAAGAGAACATTGGCCTATAGACAGAAGGGTCCCAGGTTCAGTTCTGGTCACATGCCCCGGTTGCAGGCTTGTTCCCTAGTGTGGGGCGTGCAGGAGGCAGCCGATCAATGATTCATTCTCATCATTGATGTCTCTATCTCTCTCTCTTTCTCTCTGAAATCAATAAAAATATTTTATTAAAAATTTAAATACTATCTTAATCAGTTGATAAATATCTTTTTTTTTTTTTTATACTGCACATGTATGAATAGTTTTTTCAATGTAAAAAACTCATCCTGGCCCTAGCTGGTTTTACTCAGTGGTTAGCGTGCCTGCGGACTGAAGGGTTCTGGATTTGATTCCCGTCAAAGGCACATGCCTGGGTTGTGGGTTTGATCCCCAGTAGGGGGTATGCAGGAAGCATTTGATCAGTGATTCTTTCTCATCATTGATGTTTCTCTCTCCCTCTCTTTTCCTCTCTGAAATCAATAAAAATATATTTTTTAAAATCAAAACAAAACTCATCCTGGCCCTAGCTGGTTTTGCTCAGTAGATAGTCAGCCTGCAGACTGAAGGGGCCTGAGTTCACTTTTGATCAAGGACACGTATCTCAGTTGTAAGCTCTTGGCCATGGTGAAGGCAATCAATCAATGTGTCTCTCTCCCATCAGCGTTTCTATCTCTCCCTATCCCTTCCACTATCTGAAAATCAATGGAAAAAATATCCTTAGGTAAGGATTAAAAATAATAAATAAGATAAAAAATATCCTGTATTTATCATATACATAACTGCTTTGTGGCTTTCTTTTCACTAATACTGGGTCTCATTACTTTTTCCATAGCAATTCATACAGATTAAACTCACTCTCTTCATGGTTATCTGCTTTTTTTAAACTAAATTTTATTAAGGATAATTTATATACAATGAAAAGTACCCAAGTGAGCATTGTATAGTTGATGAATTTTGACAATATATGCAACTGTGTAACCCCCAACGCAATCACAATACATTTACACTACCCCCAAAAGTTCTCTCACTCCTCTTCATATTGTTAAATGTATCCCTAAGTACTTCATGTTTTTGGATTTTATTGTAAACTACAGGCCTGGTGCACGAAATTCGTGCACTCGGGGGCAGGGCCTCAGCCTGGCCTGCAACCTCTCGCAGTCCAGGAGCCCTCACTCCTACTGCCCACCTGCTTGCTGCTCCTTACCATTCAGCTCTCTTCACCTTATCAATGCTGCGGGAGAGGCTCTCATCACCACTGCTGCTCTCGCCCACCGTGAGCCCCGCTTCTGCCCGGGGGAGGGCACTGACCACCAGGGGGAAGCTCTGCATTGAGCATCTGCCCCCTGGTGGTCAGTGTGCATCATAGTGATCGGTCGTTCTGGTTGTTCCTTCATAACGGTTGTTAGGCTTTTATTATATGGATAGTATTCCATTGTTTGGATATGTCACATTTTGTTTATCCATTTATCTCGTTAGACATTTGTGTTGTTTCTAGTAATAAAGCTGCTATGAACATTTGTGTACAAGTCTTTGTGTAATGTTTTAATTTCTCCTGAGTAAATAGTGGAATGGCTGGTTGTATTAGGTATACACTTGATGTGTAAATAAACTGTCAAACTATTTTCCTAAGAGTTTGTATTATTTTACATTTCAACCAGCAAAGTAAGAGTTCCAGTTGTTCCACGTCCTCACCAACATTGGTATTGTCAGTCTTCTTTAACTTGAATAATTTTAATGAGTATGTAGTGGTGTTTCACTGTGGTTTTAAGTTGCATTTACCAATTATTGGCCATTTTTTGAAGCGTTTATTCAAATCTTTTTGCCCATCTAAAACATTGGGTTGTTTTCTTCTTATTGAATAACTAGAGGCCTAATGCACAAAACTCATGCACGGTGAATTGGGGGTCCCTCAGTCCAGCCTGCACCCTCTCACAATCTGGGACCCTTCAGGTAGGGTCCCTAGGCCTGGCTGGCTGGCAATCAGGGCTTATCGGGGCTCCCCCGCCCCTGCTGGCTGCTGGCCCCGCCCCCGCTCCTGCCACTGTTTGCCATCGTGTGGCTGCTGTCCCCGCCCCTCCCACCACTGGATGCCCCCCTCTGCAGGCGACAGGCATGGGGTGTGATCACTTGGCTGGCCTGGGCCTCCCTCTGCAGGCGATTGTCAGGTGTTGGCTGGCCTGGTGCTATTGCGTGTCATAGCGTGGTCATCCGGGATGTCGTTCAGACGGTCATTCTGCTGTTTGGTCGATTTGCATATTATGCTTTTATAATAGATAAGAGGACTTTTTAAAAATATGTAATGGATTTAAGTCCTTTTTCAGGTATGTGTATGGTGAATAGTTTCTCTCATTCTGTAGCTTGCCTTTTATTTTCTCAATAATGTCTTTTGAAGAGCATTTTAAATGTTGATGAAGTCCAGCTTATTAATTTTCTCCTATGGTTTATTCTTTTTTGTTTCCTAAGCTTTGCTTTTCCCAAGGTCAAAAAATTTCTATGTTTTCTTTGGGAAATTTTATAGTTTTAGCTTTTATTTTGAGATTAGTATGGCCCCTTCCAACCAATATCTGTTGGCTCTGTGATATTCCTTCCATCATTTCTGATGTTGGTAATTTGTGTTCCTTTTCTTCAGCATTCTTACCAATTTTGTTGATTTTTTTAAAGAACAATTTTTGCCTTAATTTTACTTATTTGCTTTTTCCATTGCACTGATTTCTGCTGTTATCTTTTTAAATTCCTTCCATCTACTTACTGTAGACTTACTTCTTTTAAAGATTCTTAATATGGAACTTGAGTTCATTGATTTTAGACTTTTTTTTCCCTCCTACTATAAGTACTAAAGGTAAAAACTTACTTTCAGGAACTGCTTTAACATTATCCCATACATTTTCAAATGTTATATTTTCATTAACTTCAATTTGAAATATTTAAAAAAGATCCCTGTGAGTTCTTCTTTGACACATGGGTTAAATAGCACGGTGTTAAACTTTTTTTGCCTTTTAAACATTTAATGAGAATTTTCACACATATGAAAACATTCATATACCTAACATCTATTCTTGTCTAACATTTTGTTGTACTTATTTTACCACTGTCTACCCATCCATCTTACTTTCAAATACACTAATGTGGAAAGTCACTTCTATATCATTTTACCAATCTCATTCGTGAGGACACTTAGCGTTTCCAAGCTAATCTTGCGAACGATGCTGCCGTGTTCACATTTCTGCCTCCTTCATCCTTCCTGCTTCTGCAGGAAAACCGCTGCCCATTAACACTCACTTTGATAAATAACCTAAGAGGTTAGGACGTTACACTCCCCCAACTCCGCATGTACAGACCTGTTTAAAATTATCCTTAGAAGAGTTAACTTGTTTTCTTTCCTCATAGGAAATAGAATAAGATTTCTTAGAAGTGAATAAGGAGCACTGGGAATATTGTAAAAGATTCTAAGCATATTTTCAGTGACAGAAAAAGAACAGAGATTAGCAGTAAACCTTCATCTTGACCTCCTGCGCCATCCCTACTCGACGGTTGAAGGATTACATCTTCCTTCCTTCCTTCCTTTCCTTCCCTCCCTCCCTCCCTTCCTTCCTTCCTTCCTTCCTTCCTTCCTTTCTTTCCCTTCCTTCCTTCCTTCCTTCCTTTCTTTCCCTTCCTTCCTTCCTTCCTTCCTTCCTTCCTTCCTTCCTTCCTTCCTTCCTTCCTTCCTTCCTTCCTTCCTTCCTTCCTTCCAAAAACAGCTTTATTGAAGTATAATTAATCAATCACATAATTTACACTTAGCGTGTACAGTTAGATGGTTTTCCATATATTCAAGAGTTGTACAATCATCACAATGAATTCTAGAGCATTTTCATCACCTCAAAAGGAATCTCATCCCTCCTGGCAGTCACGGCTTTCCTGTCTCCTCTCTCCCCGGGCCTTGGCGCCATCACTCCGTTTGTATAGGCATTAATGGAATCGCACAAATGGGCTTCTCTCACTGGCCTAATGTGCGGCATGTTATCAGCTCCATTCCTTCTATTGCTGCTTACATGTTCCTCTTACATGTCTAACCTGCTGTGAGGGCCTCCCTGTGTAGACACCGGGCAAAGGGGAACGAAGGAAGTCAGGCAGCCTTTGCCTCCGAGGAGCTGCGATAACCCCCAGCCCCCCATGCCGGTGCAGGGCTGACCCTGACGCCTGCTGAGAGGGGCAAAGAAGACACAGGCCGGAGAGAGGACTTTGGAGGATAAAGGATTCCTTCTTGATGCCAGTGATCACAGTGTGTGTGGGGGGGAGAGGCAGTAAGGTCCAGACTCTCAGGTTTGAGGGCCCCTGAATGGTCAGGCAGCCTGGGTTTGGGTGTCAGCAACTAGGGCATGATCCTCCAGGTTAGCCAGGCAGAGGCAGGGGTTGCTGGGAGGATGGAGATCCCAGCTGTCAATCCTGAACTTCTTGTAGAGTTTCTATAGAAGCTAACAGTTGGCCAAATGGCCCAACTTGCGTCTTCTGTCTGTCTGATTGGCCAGTGTTGATCAGGGCAAGACCATCCTGACTGGAGATGACAGGGTGCCCGCTGAGGGATCTTCAGAGTGCTCTCCCTCCAGGAAGCCTGACTAGCCCTACTCGCCACCCTGCAGAGGGGGCTGTTGTGCCAGGGGAGGGACCCTGGGCATCTGTCTTCTTGCTGATCTTCCCAGTAATGAGCTGTGCACAACCCATGCACTGTCTTGGATGTGGGATGGTGGGTGTTTTCTTCTTTTCATGTTTTCTGCATTTCTGCTTGTTATTCTGTAACGTGGAACATAAACTTCACTTAATAAAAGCAAGCTCCATGTCCCCCTGCCCCTCCCCCTCCACGACAGCAAAGGAGACGGGTTGTGGTGGCAGCTGCAGTACTCATCTCCCCTCTGTGAGCAGGATGGCTCTTTGCCTCCTCAGCCAGAGGTGTTTTGAAATGAAGATCTCCGGGAGTTTCCGTAGTAAAGTGATGTGTTTCCTTTGCAGGAGAAGTACCGCATGGGGGAGCCCACAGTGCCGTCCACCATGGCGGAGGAGTTCACCTATAACCCGTTCCTGAGAGTGAGGTGAGGGTGCGAGCAGGTGGGCGCAGGCGTCTTGGCCTCCGTCTCACTCAAGCTCTATGTCCACCCACTTTAACTCCTGACGGCCCCATGGTGGAGGCTGTCAGGAATCCGGACTAAGTGTAGCCACGAACCAGACACCTTTTCCAGCGGCGAGGTGGGGACAGTCCTCGACGCGCTGGCAAGCACGGGGGTCTTTCCAGACCCGAGTCCAGGCCGGAAGGTGGGCGGGCGCTTTCTCACGGAGCCTCGCGGTGCCGGGCATGGCCAGAGGCCAGCATGGGACTGGCGCTCCTCTCTCTGGGTCGCCAGCAGGACTGGGCTTGGCCAGCACGCTACCCACAGTTAGAACACCCAAGCTGGCCCTGGGCTCTTCCCCGGTGTCCGGGGAGGGGGCAGCGCGGGGCAAGGCGGCCTGCATCTGGACTCGGCTTCTGCAGGGAGAAGACGGTGCAGCAGCACGCGGGCGAGACGGACCCGGTCGCCGCCATGAGGGCCATCCGCAAAGAGAAGGACAGTTTCAAGGCGCCCCGGGACTGAGGCCTGGGTGCCCGTGGCTGCTGCGTCCAGTATTCAGAGGTTTTAGGTGAAAATTCCTGCTGGGAGTGTAGGAAATCCGGTCTCGTTTTAATTTAAATTGTAAAGCCCTATGCTTGTGTTATCAAATGTTTTAATGCACATTTACCAGAGAAGAATTTAGAAAGTATTTATTCCCGAAGCTCTGCTTGCAGACTGTGTTCTCTGGCTTTTTTGTGGGGCCCCTGCAATACACCCCAACAAATGCTATCCCTCTTCCTCCTCCACGGCCAGCAGCCCCGTGCTCCCCAAACAGAGCCCCTGGGAGGGGGTGTGCGCTTCTTCCTCCTGGCGCCATAAGAAGGGACCTATTATCACGTCCATTTCTCCCTCCTCCTCCCTCCCCCAGCGACTGCTAGAGGAAATCATTCTCTCAAGGACCTGTGTCATCTTCACAAAGTCGCTTTTTTGTTGATGTCAGGCCTGGAGGACCTTCCTGGGCTGGGACATGGATGCAGAGAGGCCATAGGCTGAGGCCAGGCGTGCGGGAGTCAGGCGCTCACAGAGGTTCCACCTTTGCACACCCCCTCCCTGCAAAGGCTGCCTGTCCTGGGGCGTCCCCAGGGACCGGTGTGGGCAGAGAAGCTGACGGGAGGGGCCATCGGTACCGTCTGTGTCGGAGAGTGGCCAGGCTGAGACATGACCGTCGGCACCTTGCAGCCTCGCTCAGGCCTGGGCCGGGAGAGGGTCCACGTCCTTCCTCCGGGGGCAGGTGGAGGCCCGAGGCCGAGCTCTCTGTGAAGGCGCCCTGTGCGAACGCTGTGCCCTCTGCTTTTGTCCGAGTGAGCTAGAACGGCGGCTGTCCTGGGGAGCCACCATGCTCGGGCGGCTCCTCAGCTGCAGTGTCAGCTAGTCCTAGGCCTGGGCACGCTGGGCAGGCTCCGCACTGAGTCCCAGCCCAGGTGGAGGGCGGGCTATCCGAGCAAGGAGGAAAAGGTCGAGGCAGCTCTGGGGTGTCACAATGTATTCAGGGGGTTTGGTGGTAGGAAGATGGGGTGTTTGTTCTCAGCTGACTCTTATGGATTTGGAGGTTTTCTCCTGTGTGTGGTTATTCCGTTTGGCTTCGGTCTGTTACAGAAGAACAGTGCCAGTCACTGAGCCTGGCACTGCAGCCTCTGGTCAGTCTTTGCTGTTGTGACGACACCCATGCGGACCTTGTGCCACAGCTCCTGCTGATGTCACCTTTGCTGCTCGCCCCGACAGGTCATGCAAAGCAGATTGTCGCCACCGCTCTCTCTGGAGTCCTCAGGTCCCGAGGGTCATTGGTCCCTGTTCCCGGCCGAACGTAGGGTGCAGGTCACTCTGCAGTTGCCTGCATGCTGCCGAGTCTGGAAATCCCCCCTCCTCTGGGAGAGCTGAGCTCTAAAGAATGAGTGTTCGCCCCAGCTGGTTTGGCTCAGTGGATAGAGCATCGGTCTGCAGACTGAAGGCCCTGGGTTTGCTTCCAGTCAGGGGTACTTGCCTGAATTGTGGGCTTGATCCCCAAAAGGGGGTGTGCAGGAGGCAGCTGATCAAGGATTCTATCAGTGATGTCTCTCTCTCTCTCCCTCTCTCCATTCATCTCTGAAATCAATAAAATTTATTTTTTTTTAAAAAAAGTGCTTTGCCCTGGCCAGTTTGGCTCAGTGGATAGAGCACTGGCCTGCGAACCAAAGGGTCCCAGGTTCTATTCCAGTCAAGAGCATGTGCCTTGGTTGCAGGCTCCTCCCTGGCCTGGACCCTGGTCGGGGCTCAAGTGGAAGGCAACCAATCGATGTATTTCTCCCACATTGATGTTTCTCTCCGCCTTTCCCTCTCTCTTCTACTCTCTAAAAAAATCTGGAAAAATATCCTCGGGTGAGAATTAAAAAGAAAGAAAAGAATGCTGCTTTCACCTGGATAGGGTGGGCCTGCAGCCGCCCTCCCAGACCGGGTGGGCTCTGGCTCGGTGGCCGGGCTGTAGGGGGGCTCACGGGTGAGGTGGGACTTGTGGCCGGTGGCTGGGCCGGGCCCACAGCTTTGAAGTCCTGCCCTCCGTCCCTGCAGCAGCAGAGTGGACGCTGGCGGGGGGTGTGAATCAGACGTGGCCCCTCCAGGGAAGCACCCAGACTGCTGCACCAGCGGCGCCCACTGGATTTTTGCTTCTTATTGACCAGGAGTCCTTTCGCCCACGCGGCAAACTGTCCGAATCTTCGGTTGTGGGTGTGTATCACCTAGTTTGTTGCCAGCTTCAGACTCTGGTGCTTTGTTGAAGAAATTCTTAATTTCTCACAGTCAAATGCAGCATTTTCCACATCATGGTAAATGCTTCTGTCCTGTTTAACAACGCTTTCTCTCCTCTGATGCCTTCCTGTAATTTCACTCAATCCTTTTTACTTTGCTTTTCACACTGAGGTCTATAATTCCTGTGAAAATGCTCTTTATGCCAGTGAGTGGGTTCCCGGTGCCCCTCTCCGTCTGCCCTGCCAGCGCTGTGAGCATCCAGGTGCCCACGTCCTGTGGCTCCATGACCTGTTGGTGCCCTTTCCCGTCACTGAGCCTCAGGACAGTCCATTTCCAGATGGGACAGGACCCGGCCTCGGCCTTTAGGGGTGTTGGCCCCTTGCCCTTACGTAGAAATATCTGGAATTCGGACTGAAGTGATAGTGACTAACTAGGTTGGGGAGAAATTTTGTGTGGTTTGGAGTTTCAGGTGTTGAACATGCTGCTTGTCCACCGACTGGGTCTCTGGTGCTGTCCACGCTGGGCCATCAGCGAACCTGTGGTGCCACCACCAGGGTCAGCACAGACCCCCAGTGGCAGGCATGGTCCCCAACATGGCCGCCCTCACCAGAGACTATAGCTGAAGGCTGGGGCCCCCAGGCCACCTGCACTTTTGACCAACTGGCTGCAAATTCGGGGGTTCCCATGACCCCCTCGGATTCAATAACCATACTCCTGATTTTTTATAAAGGACATAAGTTTAGTAAAAGAATTCAAACCAGGACCAGCCAAGTGAGAAGACCACAGGGTGAGGTCCAGGAGGGTCCAGAACACTGACTTACCTCTCCGTGGAGTTCAAGTGTGTCTCCCTCCTGGCACATCTGGGCGCTCACCCACAGGAAAGGCTATGAGCCTGTGTCAGTCAGTTTGGGGTGTCACTGTGTCAGCCGTGGAGGCACTGACCACGTGACTGAACTCCTGCCAACCCTCTGATCAGAGGGCAGGCCTTTTCGGTGACAGCCTTGTTGAGTCACCTCATCAGTAAGCTCAGGGGCCAGGGGCTTATGAAGGAATCAGAGGCTGCTCCCCCTCAATAGGGACAAAGGCCAGAGAAGTTACTCATTATCTGTCAGATGTCTTTCCACCAGGTTTTATAACTTCCTTCCCAGAGGCCAGTTCTCTGGGGCAGTGTGGTCCCATGTGCTGTAAATGGCACCTTCACTTAAACGCCCCCCGTGATCAGAAAGGGCAGCTGACTCTGGGAACCACTGCACTTGCTCACCCTGAGGTTGGTTCCTCTGTAGACCTTTTGAAGTTCCGTCTTGAGTGTTGGTTTTCCAGAGCTCCCTGTTGAAGTGAGGCAGTGGGCACATCGGCCTTTGTTCTGACGTCACTGCTTTACTGAATGTCTGCACGTGGCTGATGTGCAGATACTGGACGCTCCGCTCCAGGGACTCAGAGTGAGCAGACAGAGGTCCCTCCCCCTGTGGAGCCGCTATTGTGGTGGCGGGATGCAGGCAGATGACTGAAGTGCTGGCAGGCCAGGCGGGGGAGCACTGCAGAGAAAAGACACACTCAGGGATAAGGTGCACAGAGCACCCAAGGCGAGGCCTCACTGAGGAGGGCCATGAAGTGAAAGAAAGCAGGTGCAGAGGCCTGGGGCAGGTCTGCAGCAGAGCGAGGTGTGTGGACAGTGTGTGTGTGTGTGTGTGTGTGTGTGTGTGTGTGTGTGTGTGTGAGAGTACAGGTCTCGTGAGGACCTTGGCGCCCACACTCAGATGTGCAGAGGCAGGTCATGGCTGACCTACTCGGATCTCTGAATGGCACGGCAGGGCGGCTGAGGCAGGGGCGGGGAGGTGCAGGCAGAGGCGTTTGCTCCCAGCTGGGACCTGAGCCGTGAGTGCTAAGTTAGGGAGAGTCCACCTCCAGTGACTCACTGGAGTCATGGGGGCTCAGGTTTGGACATGTTGTGTTTAAAATGCCCGTGAATATATATGGGGGGGGGGCAATGTTAAAATTTGTACGCAGACAATAATTTTATTAAAAAAAAGTAGCAGGGATGAGGTAGTGTTTGTATTATTTTAACATTTTTAAATGTCCACACATGCCCAGAAGCCCCCGTGAGAAAGAATGGACTATGTGAAAGAAAACTGCCCACTCAGCCGGCAGGGCTCAGTGGTTGAGTGCTGACCTGTGAACCAGGAGGCCACAGTTCAATTCCCAGTCAGGGCACATGCCTAGATAGTGGGTTTGATATCCAGTGTGGAGCATGCAGGAAGCAGCTGATCAATGATTCTCTCTCATCATTGATGTTTCTATCTCTCTCTCCCTCTCCCTTCCTCCCTGAGATCAATAAAAATATATTTTAAAAATATTAAAAATAATAATAAAAAAATAATAAAATGCCCGTGAAACCACCGGGCAGGCAGAGGAAGGTCAAGGCGAGGTCCAGCTGGGAATGCACGTGAGGAGTCACCTGAAGCCCGGGACGGGGCCGTCAGGCAGGAGGTGAGATGCCAGGCGTTCCTTCTGGAACCGAAGAGGAACCGCCAGGGCGAGGACAGCAGGAGTGCGTTGCCAGGAGGAAGTGGCAGGTGTGGCACCGCAGGCAGAGGCTGCTGCTCCCCTCCGGGCTGGTGGTCGGCTGAGTTGCCGTTATAGTCTTGGGCTAAATCCCATTTCATCAGAATTCAGCTGCTGGTTCCTTTCCTAGTCTTGTCTGGTTTTGGTAAGTGATAAGCATTTTTTTAGGAATGTTTCTTCAGAGGTTTGTGGAAGACAGT